GGTAGGCACAACGGCCCAAGGCCCAAACAAGGGGTACTAAACAGGCAGCAAGGATTTATAAAGCAGCAATAAATAACATTGCTCCATTTCAAAGAGCTCCACGGCTCCTGCAGCACCCCAAGACACCGAGAGGGAAAGACATCACCATCAGGAAAACGTGTGCTGGAAAAAAAAAAACCCACCACTGGGCAAGTCTGCAGCTGCCAGGGGAGAGGCAAACACGCGAGGCAGCGGCTCAGCATCTGGAGGGGAGAGCATCTGCTGAGAGACACCTCGACGCTTCCTTGGAGTGAGAAATCATCACTCTGGCTGCAATTCTTCACGAGCCAGACGCACCAAGTGAATGGAATCCACACAAATGAGGTCGTTAGCATAACCGAATACGCTCTTCATTCCTTCAAGAATGAAAAATATGAGTAATTCCCTGGCACAGCACAATTACAGCCTGCCAGCACTAGCACATGGGTTATATCTATTATGAAATAATAAGATAACATTAATAAGATTCCCAGAAAGGACATTAGACAGCTAATCTCATGACTGTGTACAACTGGTCTAACTATTCAGGCTGTCTCCAGCCCGCACGGCTCTACAATCTCCAGGTCTTTCTCGTCATTTTCACTGGGAAAGGTTCAGGTCTACCAGCTTTTAAGCAGAAGGTTCTGAGTGGGAAGCACGGCGAGAGCTCTGGGAGTGCTGGGAAACTCAGGGTAGCTGCTCTCTTTTCAGGAGTTTCAGTAGCAGCCATAAACGTGAGAGCTACAGCAAACAAATGTCCCTGTAGACAGATCCATGCTGGCAGCTGTATTTTGGGTCGTTAACCTGAGTGCTTCAGACGCGTGCTGGCAGAGCTTCCGAGAGCACCTGAATAATCTTCCTTTTTGCCCCTCCATTTGCTTGTGTCCTGTGGCTCCACACCCTGCATGCACACACAGCACCCAGAGCTGTTTCACGGGTGTATCAGCACGGGCAAGAAACTGAGCTTGACCTTTCAGATGAACATCACCCCACCTTCCTGAGACACTCACAGCTAAGCTTTAAAGAGAAAAAATACAGACAATAAATAAGACACGCATAGAGCTGAGCATAACAACACACATTGCTCAGAATCCTGCTAAGGCAGGAGGCAGCCGAGACGTCCATCGCTGTAATTTAGCAAGATGCATCTCAGGCTGTCGCAAGGAGCATCCAGCTCCCCGGGACCAAGGACACGTCAATAGCAGCAGTCAGACCCTGCGAATTTGGCAGGAGGCTAAATTGGCTCCACAGCCTCGCTGGCCCTGCTCGGGGAAGGAAAGACTCCTAGTCTCAGCACAGAGGGATGTAATGAGGATTAATAAGGCGTGTGAAGACGCTCTGTAATTGTCCGGCCGGCTGTTTCCTTTGCACCTTATGCTGTCGTTTATGCTCGTGCAAAGTGGCTGTTAAACGCCCCAGGTCTGATTCAATAGAACTCTGCAGATTCCTCGCACAGGTGTAAATTGCTCTGTGAGATTCAGGGCACTGTCTAAATGCAAACTAATCTGATCATCTCTGTTGCCGCCTTTTTTTTTTTTCTTTTTTTCATTTTTTTTCTTCTGTAAACTCCTCTGCAGACAATTGAACATTTTAGTGCCTAATAAACTACAAAATATCAGGTATTTCGTGCGTGAACTTACGTCGAAATAGAATTCGCAGCGCTGGTTTCAAGGAGAGGTGGAGCTGCATCAAGATGCCAAGACTGGACCACCAGCACTGCAGTCCTGTGTGCTGGTTGCTGCCCACAGCCGTGGAACATTCACATCATAAACCTCAGGGGCTGGTGCACACTGACAGCGAGCCTGAACCCTGGAGAAACCATGAAAAATGAGCTAACGACATAATTTGGGAGGGAACGGGCAAAAAACAATGCCTGACCTTGTTCAGACATAGGAAAAAACAACTGCAGAACGACAGCAGCTGTAAAATGAGCCTGAACTAAACTGCATGAGCTGGTATTTCAGGGAATAACCCTTAAAAGGTGGAAGGCTTTGATAGACGCACTCCTACAGGTAGCTTCAATCCCTGGCAGCTGCAAGGCTTCGGTAATGAATGTCAGACTGCTGGGCAGCTGTGAGGGGAATAAACAGCTATTTGCCTTCAGTGGAAGTAGCATCAGTTTGACATATGACATTCAAATGATACGAGCTTTAAAGTGTGGTTAAGCGACTGATGTTTGACTTGGAACCTTGGGCCCGCCGAAGCGGCAGCGCCGCTGTTTACCTTGGCTCCGTGGGGGATTGAATCACTGAGCTAAAAGATGAAAGATCAAAGTGTTTCTGCAAATCCAGCCCGCAGTATGTCGTGTGTCCAGCTGCTGGAGTGATGAGAGGGGTAAGATGGATCCTCCCCCTGCTGCGGGCACGCGTGGGTCTCAGGAAACGCAAGATGGGGGATGAAATCTGGGGAATGGGGTGGAGAAAAGGGGTTATCCCCACCTGGTCCTTCCCAAAGCACACCCTTCTCCTGCCATCCACATTGGTGGGTTCCTCTTCAAGGCTCTTTGCATTTTGCCTTGCAGGACACCAGCCCACCCTGCACCATCTCCTGCTCATTTTAGAGAAACAAATGCTGCCAAAACTTACCTGCCTGTTTTAGGAGCCCTTGTTAGGCCCTTGTGACATCAGCCTGTCAGCTAACTACCAGCACTCATAACCCTTTGATAACCTACCTGCTGAAGTGCTTTGGCTTGCAATCTTCACACTGAAACAAGAGCTCAGGACCAAAGTTGCTGGAGGAAAAAAATCACTGCTTCCTGACCTTTGGGCAGACTCTGTGGGCTGATTATCTCATCGATTTTAACCGAATTGAGCATTCAATACGAGTGTCTGGAGGCCTGTCTCTCCTCAGCAGCGGGTACAGTACAGCACCAGCAGCAATAATACAGACAAGCTCTATGCAAGCCAGGGGCAGGGGCAGGAGAGCTCCAGGTTTCTTGTAAATTGTGGCAGGCATGATGAGTCCACCTGAGCCGGGCCCTGGGAGCACTGAGGCACACGGGGAGCCCTCAGTGAGAGCACTTCAGAGAGGGAGCACCCTGTGAAGTGCAAATGGGTGCTCTCCCTTGGAAGGAGCCAAAATAACTGAAGCAGAAATAAGTGGGGCCAGACTGGAGTGATGCCACTCGAGGGGGGACTGTCCTTCCAGAAGGGGCTGTGCTGAGCTGATGCCCAGTGCTCTGCTGTAGGAGGGGATATGCTGAGCAGGGGAGCTCATGCTGAGGGCCCCACAGTCATCCTGGATGTTTTAGGGGGAGTGAGGGATTTGCTTCAAGCTGTCAGCAGCTGGACTGTATCAGGGGAGCACCTGAAGCACTTTTGCAGTAGTGCCCTCCTAAAGGAAACCCATTTCCTCACTCTGGGACCTCACTGGAATCTGAATCAAAGCATGGCATAAGGTGGACACACATCAAATTTCACTATTGCCTAAGTGTAAATAACTAAAAAAAATTATAGGTGCAGGTAAACTGAGGCACAGGGCTGTGGAAGAGCACAGCTCCATTTCCCTTGGATATTGGGAGTGGTTACCTCTGGAAATCAAACCAGAAAGGGTTGACACCAAATATCTCCCAGACAGCTGCTCAGTCTGGAATAAATCCAAGAAACAGCATCCCAGGTACTGAACCTGCCGGAAAATTCAGCATCCAAGCATTTCTCCACTGCAAGATCTCACCCAAACCACTCCCCAAAGCCGAATCTGTTGGCAAGCCTCCCTCTAGGGCACTTGGGAGCCCATACCAATTTGTGCTTCCTGCTCTTAAGCACAAAATTCAGCAGAACAAAGATGAGATGTGACAGAACTCCAGCGTTTTGTCCCTTGGCAGAACCCCAGCAGGTGCTGGGGGCTGAGGCAGTGCTGTGTCCATCTCTCTGCAGGTACAGCAGTGTTCCCAGCCCAGCTGTGCTGCCCCACTCCCTTGGCACAGGGTGCAGCAGATGAAGATGCCTTTGAACAGACATGAGAGGGGCTGAAAACCTTTGACACCTCCATGTGAACTGTATATTTCCAAAATGTTAAGCAGCTTTGTGAGAGAGATTATCCTGTAGTGTTGACATTTCTTTGTGAGTGATTAATTCCAACATGGGCATGGGGTGAGGAGGCAAAGGAGGCCTTTTCTCTTTGCCACCAGGCAAGTTCTGGTCTTTGCACCAGCAAGGCCATTAATTCATCCCTGTGACACTGCAGGTGACTTTGTCATCTCATCTTCTTGGTCACTTCTCAAGGCAGAGGATTTTCCATGCCCCTTTTCATGAACCACTGTGATGGTACAGGCACTTTTCAGCTGTTTGTCCTCCAGGGGTCTGACTGCCTGTACATTTAGTCCATGTGCTGTCACAAACACCCTGCCTTGACTTTGGAAAAGAGGACAGCAACAGCTGAGAACAAAGATGGATTGTCACTTTTGGACATTGGTGTGCTGCAGGTGACGAGGGCAGAAGGGCAAGCCATGGCTGCCTGAGCTGCTGGGAATTTTCTAACCCTCTCACCCAGCTCATTGATGACTCTCTAGAGAAGCAGCCTCACTCCTCCCCTACACTTCCAGTCAAGGGTGTCTTTCACTGGGGAATTTAATTTGCTGCAGAAAGGTTATTACATCCCTTCTGAGGTTTTCTACTCAATTCCTAAAAAGTATAGAAAGTAAGTATGAAAAGAATATAGAATAACATATGTATAATCTATCTACCTCCATAAAAAAGAATATAAAAGAAAAATAAAAACGGCTATATAGTGAATAAAATTCCTTTTGCAATAGGAATCACTTCACAACCTCAATGACTCTGTGACTCTGCTCAGCTGTTCCTTTTGAGCTGTTGTACCTTCAGCTCTGCACCTCCAGGAGCAACTCTTAGGATTTATGGTACCCACAGGGATTCATCCAGGATAAAAAGAGTTTTCATCACCTGGCCAAAGGCTTATGAGATCTCACTTGTGTATGGAGAAAGCACAGCAGCAGAGACTGGCATCACTTGGACACAGAAGAGGCAAGTGAACTTTTTATTGCAGTTAGCATTCCTGCAGCAGTTTTTGGAGGAATAATATGAAATTCTAGACTGTACAAAAATGTAAAACTTTGGCAAGATTTTGAAGCTCTCAATAGGCAAAGGCACCTTTCTTCCAGACAGGATTGCCCAGGACATCTGAAGGCTCTCAGTGCCGCACCTTGCATAATGATTAATTTAGTTAAGTTGGTCTTACAGTGGTGTAATATAAATTAGACTAAAAGGTGTCATGATAGCAGCATGGATAGTGCCTGTGTTGACAATCCCTCCCACGGCAGGTGGCTGCATGCCCACGATAAAATAAGCAAACAATCAGGAACCACATGTGGGACACTTCTCTCCCACTCTGCAAATCTCCAGTCCTTAGGGGTAACTGCTTCTCTCCTGGCTCCTCCAGTTAACCCATCTGCACTTGGAATCACACAAAAGCCATCTAAAATCATACCAAAATCTAAATATATCAGCATCAGAAAATGTGCTGCAGGCATTCAGTACTGTAAGGACGTGACCATTTTAACATTTGTCAGGGTCATAGCACAGAGCTGAGGAAACGTCCTTGGACAACTCTGCATTCCCAGGAGAATGAAACCAGGAGACACACAGAATCACCCAGCAGGCAGAAGGAACAGGAGCAATGGCAGCATTACTTAACTATGTGCAATTTGCTCTCCCCATCTTGATTTAAATTACACTGCCAGAAGAGACTGACAGTGCCTGGAATCAAATTGCTTAGAAAAGTGCCTCTTCAGAGACAGAGAAAAAAATGCCCAAATAACTGGAGTGCAAATGGTCTTGCAAAATGCCTATTGTGATTGGGGACAGCAGGACTTGGTCTCATGTTCATTAGGATAATGCTCATGTAACTGTGCTGGGCCAAACCCCCATGAAATGGGGGGGCCCTGCCCCCCTGACATTCCTACAGTGCACACATTAACCTGGTCTCCTCTCAAGAGCTGGAGGAGGCACCATTAAATAAGAATCTCTTGCTCTGCTCCTGCTTCCTTCACTTCTTCAGGTCAGCCTGGGCTCTGGGGACCATCTTCAGGACAATGGGCTTCTTTGGCTGCATGAAACCTTTCGAGTCCAGGTCCAGTGGGATCTTGAGCAGGAAGGAAAAAACAGCCACATCAGCTGGGAGAAAGGACAAACAGGACAACAGGAGCCCTAAAGCTCAAACACATCACAGCTACCAGTCAGTTTCAATGCATTTCCCAGCTCACAGGCGTACTTACAGCAGGACCAGCACTCTTGCTCATGCAAAGCAGCCACCAGCAGGTGTTTAACAGCCCTCAGCTCTTGGATAAACTGGTTGGTGAGCTCTGGCTTTCAGCTGGAGCGGTACAAAGAGCTCGGTGCACTGATCAACAGGCTGCACGTGGAGGGAAGACAGCCAAACCCCACCCTGGGTGCTGCAGCTAAATGGGAGCATGCAGTGCCATTTTGTTTAATGCACAAGTGTGTCAGTACTAAGGGCAGCTAGATCATAATGGGAGATGGAAGAGCAATAAACTCTCCAGGAAGAGCAAAACTAAAATTGATGCTCAAACCGAGTAGCAAAGCAAAAGCATCCTCAGCATCAAAGGTTTCCATGGGATAGGTTGGGAATCTCTTTAGAAACAAGATTTAAAGCTGGTGTTCGAGGAATCATCTTGCAAGGGAGGGATTTAAGTGTTTAAAGTCTCCCCCACCAATGGATGCTGCTCATATCCCAGCTCCCTCTCTCCCCATCAGGACAAGGGCGACACCCCCAGCCCAACAGGCCACATTCACCTCCCATATCCCAGTAAGCTTTGTTTCAGGAAATTTAAGCTTGGAGCCCAATGTGCCATCAGTGGAGCAGTGAGAGGAGGCTGCAACTTCCATGTGCATGTTCCAAAGGGATGTTCTAGCATGAAATTTTCCCTCCCATTCTGATGTACATGACACCTTCTGTAGAAAAAGGGCTGAAAGAGCCCCATAAACCTATGGGCACCAATAATGCAATACATATTTAACTTGTCTCCTTTTAATTAAAGGCAGTTATAAAAAGAATCAATTTTATGGATTGCAGAGGACTAGAAAAATGTCATTAGACTTGGGGGAGGGTGGATAGGTCACTGCATTGTTAATGGACTATTACAGTCTTTCACCTCCAGGTTACCAGTTGAGCTGCAATCTGAATCTGCAGAGATTCCAGCTGAGCACCCGTGCCAAGTAATAATTTAATAAGGACTTTTCTGTTTCTTACAACAAACGTCCTTTGAGTGACTTGTTGCCCTCTCTGCTCTGATTTCCAAAGCTCTCCTCACAAACAGAATGTAATAATGGCCCAGCCTTTTGCAGCAGTGAGTGCAGGGAGCTGGGTCAGGCTGGAAACAACGTGGTGCTGCCTGCCTGAGGCACAGGAGCTGCCGTGCTCTCAGCAGGGCTGGACTGACACATCATTTCCAACAGCTCCTGCATTTATTTCATGTCAAACACTACCACCCTGCAAGGCCATCTCATCTGTATGCAGCATTCACTGGGCAAAACCAAAGCCTGGTGGGATCCTGCATAGCCCCTAAGAGGGAGGGGGTAATTAATTTAAGCTTAACCCATTTTGTGCTTGCTTGAAAACTGCTAACATTTAGGGACTTCCCTGGGTCATAAGAGATGAATTTTGTTGTCTTGGGATGTCCTACAGAGAGTGTTTGTGTTGCAAAACACATCTTTGGCACGGGCTGGGGGATATTCTCTTCCTGCTCTCTGGAGCGGGGTCTTCCTAATCTGGGTCAAACAGACCAACAGTGCACTGTGGGGGAGAGAGCACCCCACAAGTTAGGTGCACTCAAAGATAGGCACAGGACTTCAGGGATTTAAGACTAAAAGATCCCACCAACATTAAATACGCTTCTGTAGAGGCTTCTTAAACAAAGCATAAGTAACTTGTGGTGAACCCCTTAAAATTAACTGAGAAGATTTAAACAGTTATTCCCATCTAACAGTAGGACATCTCAGAGGGAGTAAGGAGCAGATAATGAGACACATCACCACACATCCTCACCGGTGTGTCTTTGCAGGGTCTGAATGAGAAGTTCTGCAACAGGACAACCACAGCCACTTTCACAACAAGGAGAGCAAACCTCATCCCTATGCAGTTCCTGGGGCCTGCCCCAAATGGTAGGAAGGTGTAGGGGTCAATACCCTCTTTGCTCTCTTTACTGAACCTGGTTATACCAAAACAAACAAACAAACAAAAACCAAGTTAGCAAGAGCCACTCTGTTGCAGGATGTGTCAGCTTCCTAATCTGAAGTAATGAGGGGTCTGGGAAGGGAAAAGCTTTTTGTGTTTCTGTGCATATTAGAAACTAAGTCCCTTAATTCTGTCTCAATAGATATGTTATGCCTCTGCTTTCATCCCAATGCTCAGATTTGGTTGTGTAAATACAGGTGCATTGGGTGTCCTGGGAATACCTGAAATACACTAATGGATTTCATAACTGCTCTTTTTTCAGAACTCCCTCTCAGCTCCAAAACTGAACCCAGATTTCAAACCCTAAACCACACAGGTCTACAGCTCCACAGCTTCCCTATAGATCAAAGGACTGAGCAAACACAAAGATGTTCTCCCACTGCGTGACTAAAGACAGGGCTGCTTTTGAGACATGCCAGCCCCATTCCTTTCCTCATCATGAAAAACAGGGAAGTACAATCAGCTTTACAGAGAAATTTGCCACAGAGCATTTTCAGTAATACTTCTTAGTGATCAGTTGGTTTTCATGTCAAAAAGCTTTTCATTCCCTTGCATGAGGTACAAACCTCAGCTATGCTAAGTCAGAAGTGAAGTATCTCGCTACTGAGACACCAGCACATCCCTCTGATGAACTCCCAGCAAGGCAAGTGAGTCCTAAAGAGCTCTTGTCCAGCTACCCATGCCAAGTTTGACAACTGGAATAAGGATGTGGCTACTGGAGAAACTGGTCTGGCCCATTGCCAGAGTACTTGTATTTGGGTGTTTCCTTCTGAATTCAACACAAAGTGACCACAGGCTTCACAGGTGCTTCTGCCTGATACCACTGCCATGTTTTGTCCCAAAGGTCACCACGTTCACATAGCAGGATTAGTTTCCAGGGGTATTTCATCTCTTGGTGCAAGGGCAGAAGTCTGGTCCTGTTCTCTCTGGACCAAGCATCAATGTCTTGGTGGCCACCTAATGATTACCAGGTTCATGGTATCCCAGGTCTGCCTTGGGCTATTGCATCATTTTGCAGGGTCTGACAGAGCTCCTAAGCAAAGATTGCTTCAGAATTTGAGTTAAAAATTGAGTTTTATTTCCTACCCATCTTTGCCCTTCCACTGCTGATTTGCAGGGCATTGTGCCAGTCACCCAATGGCTCTTGCTTTAATATCTGGCCATAAACCCCTCAGTGTTACAGCTGCTGGGAGCTGCTCTCACTGTTGCTCCCTTCAATGCAGTTAATTAAATTCCATGCACAGTTTATGGATGTAGATCATAAAACTCCCCTCACGGTAATGCTGGGACTAGATGTCAGACAATGATAAATGCCTAATTTAAATGTTATAATCATGCATTCCCCTCTTTTGCTGCCATTTCCACTCCCAGGGCTGAGGTTGAGCATGCAGCTATTCCCCCATGTGGCCCTCACCTCTCAGGCCTGAACTCGTCCGGCTCTGGCCAGTACTGTGGGTCCCGGTGCAGCACGAAGGCTGGGATCAGGACCACCATTCCCTCTGGAATAGTCACTCCATTGAGCTCCACAGTCTTCTTGCAGACCCTCTCGAGCCGGCCCCCGGTGGGGTAGAGCCGGATGGATTCGCTCACCACCATATCCAAGTACTCCATCTGAATGATGGCGTTGTACGTGGGAGAGGCCTGGGAGAGGAACGGGAGGACTGAGAACACAGCACATCAACTTCCACCCCTACAGCCCCCCAGTGCTTCCAGGGAAGGGGGAATCTCAGAGCCAGCACCTCTGCCACTCTGTTTCCAACCTGGGTTTGCAAGGCAGGTGGAACAAGCCCAGCATCTTCCCACCCTCCTTTACCTTGTTAGGCAGGTGTGCATCGACCTCGTCCTGGAGTCGCTGCTGCACGTCAGGGTGGGTGGCCAGGTTGTAGGCTATGTAGCTGAGGGTGGAGCTGGTGGTCTCATAACCAGCAAAGACAAAGATAAGAGCCTGGGCCAGAACTTCCTCATCACTTAATGCTGAAAAAAGACATAGAAGCACATACAAGAAGCTGAAAATTACAAACCCTTGGGAATTCAGGATCCCAGTCATCAGCCTAGGTAATGCTACTCCTAGCTACATAATGGCTGGTAAAGGAAACATCCAGCTTACCCTCTGGTACCACAGAGGGGTGCACGATGCAAAGCAGTGTGCCCTACAAGTACCCTGTCCTGGCACCTCAAAAGTTTAAAAGCATCCTGCCTTGAGTTGACAGACCAGGACTATGCCTTGGCTGAGCCTTTATCGTCTTACACTTTACCTAGGACAGGGAACAGAGATGAGCTCACAGGTGAGCAAGGTACACACAGCATATGTGCTTTGCGTGCTTTTTGATATACAGCCAACATTGTCGGCCTTCAGAGACAACAAAGTAAGAAATTGGGGTAAGGAGATACTCTTTTTGTTCTTTGTTGCACAAACACACCTCAGAAGTTATCCCAGGAAATTAGATATAATAAAAATATGGCTGACCTGTGATAAACATCATTATGGCCCCACTACTGAGACCCCAAATCTTTCATGGGATTAATGACTAAAATTCTCTCCCTGCTTCCCTTTTAAATGGATAAGGAACTATTGCTTTCTCCTGAGAGGAGGACACATCTCAAGACACACTTTTGTCCAAGCTGGTCTCAGCAGACTTGGAGCCATCATGTGAGTTCTGTGATTCAATCATGAGCTGCAGGAAATCTACCCGGTCCTGGGGAGAAACAGAGGCAGAGAAGATGTGGGTGAGGAGGAGGAAAACCTTGTCCAGCACAAGTCCCTTGCTGAGACACCTGCTCCACTCACAGCTCATTGCTTCAGTACACGATGAGGTCTGGACTACAGACCCTTCAGGAACACAAATACTTTCTCCACTTGGACCCCCAGGCAGGGTGTGGTTCTGGCCTTTCTCGGGTTTGGTGAGCTTGGAGAACGGGTGACACACCACAGCTGCACTTGGGCTGTCTGTGCTGTTTCCACTACTGATGGCTGGAGACAAGAAATCCACACCAAACAATCTACCTGTGGAGGAAAGAGATTTCCTGCCTGGCCTACAAGGCACACAAAGGTTCAAACCTCATCTGTCTCCTCCATTTTCCAATGAACAGAGACAGAAAAACTTAAAAGTCATGGTGTGGGCTAAAGGGCAGAGAGCCCTGTGCCACAGCTGAGGGAAGCTGCCATCTTCAAGAAGCTTGCAAACATTTAATCTTTTGAAAAAATTCATCAGGTTTCATGAAGCCTCCCAGGATTTTTTTTTTGCAGAGCAATTTTGTTTTGGTTTGAGAGGTTCTCAGTGGAAGCATAAGAGGCCCCTGCATAAAAAAAGCACTGTGCAGGAAGCAGGGAGGCAGGTTAAAAGGTAGCTTGTGCTCCAGCTCTGGGAGAAGCAGGGATCAAGATGAAAAACACCGTGGCAGCCTGCAGCTTGCTTTCTGCTCCAGACACAGAAGAGCAGCTTCAAAGGCAGGAGGCTCAGTTTGACACCAAACAGTGGAGGTGATTTTCAAAGCTTATGCAGAGAAATGACCCCATAAACTGGCCATCACCATCCCAGCCCCACACCACACTGAAATCCCAGCAGGAGAAAAGTCTTGGAGAGATGGGTGGAGACTTCCCCAGTGATAAACCTTGATTCTCCCAGGCTGTCACAGCTGGAATTACAGTACTGAGGAATGTAACATCAATGTAACTTTTCCCATTCTATTCTGGGGTTGTGGAGCACCCCAAAGTGGTAGTTTTGTTCTGTAGAAACTCACCCCCAGATTTTTCCATACTTTTCAAAGCATTTCTGGTCAAAATTGTGGACTCCCTGGAAAAGAAGAAAGGAGAAATGAACAGTTTGCCAGTGAAAAGTGATCAAAGCAGGCCACAGCTGGCAGCACAGTGCATCCCACAGCCCCATTGTAAGTGGCAGAGGTTGAGGTCGGGACGTGCATGGTCCTCTTAAGCATCATGTAGATGCTTAGGGGACATTTGCATTGGAGAGAAAAAAGAGAGCAGAGACTGAAAAAATAAAAAGGTACTTTCAACTTCCACCAGCCAACCTGATCTAAAAACGTAAAGAAGAAAAGATATGACAGGCTACAAAGTTTTAGTGAGCAGAGTTAGGAGGCAGAACTGGATCCCAGGGTGTCCTTTCGCCTTCAGCTCAACAAGTTAGAGCTGCTGCTGTCTTGTCCTCATACGATCTTCCTCTGCAGTTACTGAACACAGATTTTTATTTTGTTTCCATTAGGGTTTTAACCGATGTTACATGTAACAATGAAACTTACCAGACACATAAGGCTCACTAAACCATTAGTAAGAGGCAACATGAATGACCTGAATCAGGAAATACAATAAAACACCTCTTTTTTATTGAAGCCAATACACTTAATCTGCATTTGCAATCAGTTTCCTGTGGTCAGCTACTGCCTTGAGGAACCTCATCTGCCTTATTTGATGAGGTTTGATAGCTTGATAATATTTGAGTTTTATTTAAAAATGTATTTGTCTGACAGTCTCAGGCTGGCCCAAAAGTAAGTGGTTGGATGAAGCATTCAGCCTCTTCATGTTGATGATAAAAAGAGCAAAGGAACATGCAGTTCCCAGAAAAACAACTGTCTTAGAAATCTCTCCAATGTTTGTTTTTTTTTTTTTTTGTTGTTTCCAACAGAACTTCAGTTGCTCAAGAGCAGGTAGAAACACAAAATTTAAATTACAAAGTAGTTTTTAAATACAGCACACCTCTTTCAGGTTAGCCTGAACTTTTATGTTCTCCACATGTCCAAAGAGCTTCCTGCCTAAAAGCACAATTTTCATCTGACTGAATCAAGGATAAAGGAAAGAGATGCCCAAAGAATGGGGAAAACAGCAGCAGCCACAAGAAAGATGTAAGACACTACAGAGCATCACTGCTGGTACTCACATGTCGGTACTCCAGGAAAGTTCCCACAAATGGCAGAGGCCGTGGGCCAGGAATGCCCAGCTTCTTGAAGGTCTGGTAGGGCCATATCCCATAGCTGTCAACAAAGAGCATGAGAGAAGCATTTATACAATGAAAAGAGAAGATACTTCTTCCTGAGCACAGGGAACTTCTTAAATAACTGGTTTCTGTCACTCAGGGAAAGCTGAAATTATGGACCAGCAGCAGCTCTGCTGAGGATGCTCTTTGCAATAAATGCAGGATCACTTAGGGTACATTTTGATGGAAGACAAGGGCTGAAAGGAACTGCACCCCAGCCTATGCAAACCAGTGTACCTGGGCACCTCAGGGCTTTACTCAGGGTCTCATTTAGTTGCCCAGCTCAGGCAAACGTGGCTCAGGTGACTCAGAAGAGATCTCGGACCGATCGAGTTCTGAAGCTGAGGCCTGCCCTTGTGTTTGTCTTTGCAAAACCTCCTGCGATGCTCAGGTGGCCGCACTACATCGGCAGGGCAGGGACATAAATTATCACAGCAAAATTAAGTTTTAGCCTGTAGAGCTCATTACAGCTCCCCTGAGCCATATAAGCCGAAGTTTTGCCAACAGAACTACTTAATCGGGGAGGTTCTGCTGGCAGCAGCTCCGGCATCACCCAGCCCTGCTCCCAGCTGGCACAGCTCAAGGACACCACGGGCGCTGATGGCTTTAAACAACCGGAAGTTCCTTCCTGGGAAAAGATTAAAAAAACCCCAAATATTTCCTTTACTTTCCCTCCCCGCGGAGCCCAGCTCGCTCCTTCCCGCTGGCAGCGGGGCCCCGCACCGCTCCGAGCAGCGCTCGCTGTGCCCTGAGGGCAGCGCGGGGCCCCGGGTGGTTTCAGCGCTGATTCACTCCAACCCCACCGGCACCGGGCTCTTCTGTCCGGTCCTCCAGGGGACCGGCCTCTACTTACAGGACCACGAGGCACAGGAAGGCGACAAGGAGCAGCCAGGTGACAGGGGACAGGCTGGGCAGGAGCGGCATGGTGCCCGCTGTCCGCCCGCTTCTGACACAGCGCCCCGGCCCGTGCCCGCCCTCACGGAGGGAGGCGGCGCTTCCCGCCCGCCGGTGCCTCGGGGCCGCGTCCCCCCGAGCCGGGGGCAGATCCTCTGAAGGATTCAATCCTGTGGCACGGAACTTGTAGTCTCACCTGTGCGGTTCTGCCTGAGCCGGTGACCTGCCAGCCGCAGGGAGCCGCCAGGGCAGGGCCGTGCGGGCAGGAGGTGCTGCGGGCCGGGCCCGGCCATCTGCGGGCCGGGCCCGGCCATCCGCGGGCACAGCGCCAGCGCTCCCGGCCTCCTCACCTGGGGGCGGATTCCCTCCTCACCTGGGGGCGGATTCCCTCCTCACCTGGGGGCGGATTCCCTCCTCACCTGGGGGCGGATTCCCTCCTCACCTGGGGGCGGATTCCCTCCTCACCTGGGGACGGATTCCCTCCTCACCTGGGGACGGATTCCCTCCTCACCTGGGGACGGATTCCCACCTCACCTGGGGGCCGATTCCCACGTCCCCTCTGCCCCGGGCGTTCTCTCTGCGCTCAGGTTGCACAAATGATGGCATTTGGCTTTAGGCAGCTCAGTTTCCCCCTCAGGCACAGACACTGGGCTGCCTGCATTCTGTCAGAGAAGTGGGAAGTGCATTTTGTGTATGGGGGACACAGTGGAGCCTGTGGCCAGTTAAGCTTCAGCATATGCAAATACCCCGTGCTGGTGTGTGTGTGTGGGGATGGGTCAGGCTGTGGTGTCCCTTGTCCCCGTCACACTAGGAAAGGCCACAAATCTCTTCCACTGCCCAGTCAGCACCATCCCCTTCTCTGTATTCCCTGAAGACACCAGTAGACACACAATGACCCTACATCACTCTCGCCTGCATCAGACACTACTCCCTGCCTTTGGCACGCTCAGCCTTAAGGAAACCCAAGTGCTTCTGCAGTTACCTGCCAGTCAGATCTCACGTGGCTCTGCCTGCAGGCCAGCCGTGGATTTTGCCTCTACCTAAACATTTCTTTTGCCTCATAAAACACACGCAGCCTGTGCTGAGCTGCCAGCAGTGACCTCCACACTTATGAGGAACAGCTGAGCAGCAGCACTGCCAGTTTTGGTAGGTCAGTGTCCCAGACATCCCCAGCATTGCACAGCCACCATGTGCTCAATGATTCACATAATCACTGGCAGTAATCAATTAACCATTTTATGAAGGCGCATCCCTGATTTCCCTGACTCCTGCTTCTCCAGGCTGCTCCGAAGAGCTGAGCTGTAGCAGGATGCTGTGACAGGAACTTTAGTCTCCATTTTATGGGATCTGCCCCTTTTAAGACACCTTGAAGTAACTGTACTCAGGGAACTGTACTCTTGCATCCAAAGGCTGGTTCTTCTCCTTGACAGGTCCCATACCAGAAGGACATAAAGAACAGCAGTGAAAGGCAGGAGGAGAAACCAGGCTTTAGAGCAGTAACTCCCAGGCTGGGATTAGCTGCATTTCTTCCCTCACACAAACCCTTTGATTTTCCAATAATTTTTAACAGCTGTTGTGATTTCTCAGTAGAAAGTGGGTTTGTGGTTCAGTATTTTCTCCTCCCTCACAAAGAAACTGAAGCAAGGAAAGACTTCAGGGGAAAACAAGAATGTTAGCTCTAGTCCCCAAAATATGTAAATAAAGTGTGCACCATCTTTGCATACAAGGAAATTACTAATTTGTCCAAAACAAATTAGTAACTAGATTTCTTTTTTTTTGCAGGTATCTTGAAGCACTGTGCCTCTCCAGCACCCCAGATTTGAAAAAATCATAGTTGATAAAATGTCCACCTCCCAGTCAAAATTGCTGCCATGACTCAGAGCTGCAGGTGGGGCCATTCTGAACACTCACTATCAAATAATTTGATACAAATCGCACGTATTAAAGTGATGCTTTTATCCTTACACAACCCTTTAGAGTAAATGTGGTGGCATACTCTGTACTTACTGAGACTATTTTTCTAACATGAATATCACTGAAATGGCACCCAGGAGGAATAAATCAGAGGCAAAGGCTCTCCAGATAATTTTTCTGGCAACATTTAAAGGGGTTTAGCATTGTGGGCAAGCAAATTGCACAACAGGGCTGCAGATGAGGGGCTGCTGTGGCATCCCAGCCCCTTGTCTAAGAGAAGGGAAGAAAATTGCCCATTGTTTGGGCTACACAACTCTTGTCTGTCCAACGCTGGTGATCCAGCAAAAACATCTTGTGGTACGAAAGGGGGAGCGATGAGTGCTCCCCACTTGTGCAGCAGATGTGCTAAAACAAGTGAAAAATAACAGCAACAGCAGCAGCAGCCTGCAAGTTGACATCTTCTAATTCACCTCTTTCACAAAACTGTCACTTCCCCCCACCCCTCTCATTTCAGGTAATAACTTTTTAATAGGAGATACCTCCAAGAGAGATGCTAAACCCTGTTGGTAGGAGCCACATCAATGCCTGTGACCTCTCTGATGTGCTGGTCTACAGGCATGGTTATATATTAGAAAGCAGAGCTGGTTCACCCTTGTGATGTTTCCAGGGTTAGAGACCTGTACCTAAGAAGGACCCAGAGTGGTCCAAAAGGAATGTTCCTCTCTGGGTCATAAGCACATGTGGCCTCAGCCTCTCTGACATTGCCCTTCTTACTGACACCAACACACTGCCACTGCTTTCCTCATAAATAACAAATCCCAAGGGCTCTAAAAAGCTTGCTGGAGCCCGGGGGATGAGCACAGTGCTATTAAAAGACTATTTATTCTTATGCCCTGGGGAGAGGAGGAGTAACTGAGTGTGACCCTCTTCCTCCACCCTCTTCTCTCACATCCAGAGACCTGTGATGGTCCCAGGCAGCTCTGAAGCCATGGCCCTGCCCTCCCACACTTATCCTCTGGCCACCACATGATCCCTCACTCTGTGGTGGTTCCTGGCATGTTTGTTGTTGCTGTGCCACCCTGGAAACAATCCCAGTTCAATATTAACTCACACATTATCTACCACTCCTCTTTGCAATGGCAGAGTGTTTTCATGCACTGGTACCCTTCCTGTGTTTGTGTTCCTTCTGCTGAGCTGACATGCTGCACTCCTAGGAGCCAGAGGGGAACAGGTAGCCAAGGAACTGAGATCTGTGGGGATTCAAAAGCTGATGGTCACCATGGCTAACAAACAGAAGGAGACATGAACTGTGATAACTGGCTGTAAAAATGGGACAATGCAGCCTAGACCAACTGGAACAGCAGCAACTGAACTGATGGGGCACATGTTAAAACTCATGCAGAATTTCAGTTTCTATAAGCTCAGAGAAAGAGAAACAAAAATTTGAACTCGAGGGTCCTTCCTGAAGGAGAGGTGATTTTACTGCTGTCTGCTTGGCAGGACTGAACCTGGCCAAAGGGAGAGAAGTCCTGCATGAGTGCAGAGCACTGGTGGAAGGCCATCCCCAGAAGACAAATGCTCCCCTGCATCTCAGGCTCTCCGTTAGAGAGAATGAGACATAGTCTTGCAAACAAGATAATGCTTATTATCTTATTTGCAAGATAATGTCTCGTTAGCTGCTGTGTTACAGACCCAAAGGTTTTCCTTTCCTACACATACTATGGGAAAAGTCATGTTGTAACACAGTCTTTCTAACAGCCATAGCAAAATGTCAGCCCAATTAATAACCAGGCTTTTATTCACTGACTGTCCCATCTTTAACAATTCCCTTCTTATTTTCCTCTCATCCCACAAATGCCATCATGAGCTGTTTATTCCTTGCTCTTCCTTACAAACCTTGCTCTCAAATGAGCCTCTTGAAAGGACTAAATGGGAAAGCAGCAGATGTATGACATCCTCAAAGAGCTCCAGCAGCCAGGGGAGGACCAAGGGCTGGCACCAGCTTCTGCCCTCCCTCTCACCAAGCCCAAAACCACACAGCACTTCATGCCTGGGTATATCTGAGACCTCTGCAGAGCAAAAAGACCACATTGTTCCTTTCATCCAGCAATGCTGCTGAATGCTCCTGAAGCGTTGACAGCTGAAACCCATCTCCCTTTCACTCCTCTATAATTTCTGAGCAAGGATAGAAAATCATAAGCTGCAGCCAGTGTTAAAGTGTAAAACCAATTCTGGAAAGCACAGCGGGGGCAGTGCTGTGTGCACTCCCCGCTCATGCTCGGACACCAGCTCCTCCAAGGACAACTTCTTCTTTGCCTGTCTCACATTGTACCAGAGAACAACTCTGGCTTTTCAGACCTTCCAGCTGGTAGCTCAGTCTCACTGCATGAAGCAGCCAGTGCTTTTCAGAAAGTGTTATTGCACCACTTGCAATGACCTCAATTTCTGCTGAGCTGCTTCCAAACCAGAAATCAAGCCAGAAAAGACAAAAATCATGACACGACCCTGAAACCATTATTTCCAAACACATGACATGCAGCCCTTTCTACCACCATTCCCTTATCTCCGAACCCACCCTATCTCATGAAGACACACATTAGAAACAATCCAGTGTTCTGGAATCTATTTTGGAGTCAGGATCTCTGTTCAGCCAGACCCAGCACTCACAGCCACATTGCTGCCCAAGGGCAGAGTTTGGCCCATTGTTTCTGTCTCCTCTGGGTTCTGGCTGCTTTATCTGGACACATTCTGGATATGAACTCAGTGCAGGGATGAAGCTGTTTGGCTCTTGAGTCATTTGGCATTGTGGACTCCCTATCAGCAGCTGCTGGATGTGAGCCATCCCTGACATGTTCAGGCACAGTCCTTGAGAATCCAAGCAGGTATGGCTGGAGGCTTATCACTCAGCCTCACAGGATTTCTCTATTGCAGCTAAAGCCAAGCATTTGGCTGGTTGGATTAACCCTTGCTGGCTTTGTGAAATAGGCTTCATTGAAAACAAGCATCTTTCTCTCACCTTTTAATTTCTTCTGTGGCGTGGAGACAGCTATGGATCAATGAAAGTGTCCTCATCGATCACCCTGGATGTATTTTGCTGGACAGAGGATTGAAATACTGAATCCTTCCTCTGCCAGTCTTCCACATGGTGGGGGATAAAACATTTCCCAATTTCCATCGCTTTATGTGAGGTTTAATCCCAGAGGATACAGTCTCCCAGCAGATTAAGTCAGTCTCATAAATACAGTTGAAAATTGACCCTTGTTTATCCCAATTTTCCCATCATCAGCTTTTTGATGACTCCCATTGCCCTGCTCCTCCCCTGCCCCCCACCTGTGGGGTTCATACCAATCAGATGTACTTATACATACGTAAGAAATAACTCAAGATTGCAAAGGTTTATATTTAAAAGCTGAGCCTTGTACTGTTGGAATTAGACTCTAATTAGGTCAGTTGTGTTCCCCTGGTAGGGTAAGAATGATAGTGCTGAAAACAGACAATTTATAAAGACCCAAAAATAACTCATCCTGCTGTTTTATAAGAAAGATGTGTTTTCTTTGCCCTGTGCTGAGGACATTGCCGTCAAGGCCACTTGGGCACACCAATAGCAGCCACGCAGACTGCACCTTGGTCCCACAGGCAAAGCTGGCCTGTGCCTCAGTTTCCTCCTTCCACAGGTGGGATATTCATCCTTCCCAATTTGGCAGGGCTGTGGTGAGGTCACCTGTGTTTGTTAGGTATTTTGTCACTCGTGGCATGAGGTCCCAGGCTATAGCACGCAGGCTTATTTTCCCAGCTTGCCTTTTAGCCTTATCTACACCTTCTCTGGAGTGCACAAAGGGCTAAAACTCAGTCTGAGGAGGCTCAGGGTAAAGAACAAGTCCTTGCAGCTGCTTTTCTAGGGTGTGCATCATCAGCATAAAAAGTGCACAGAGCCCCTTGGAAATTGCACAAAGCAGGGAATTACCTTTGAGTGACACCGTGGGTGTTGGTCCCTTCTTCCTCCGAACACATTTTTGTCACGCAACCATGAGCAGCTTCCTTGCTCCTCCACAGGCAGATGTTGATCCTCTGATTCCACAAGACTTCACAGGTTTCAGCGCTGCTGACAAATTAGCCTTGTAAAGCCTCGAAGAATGACTTCACACATCAGCCTCGTCTGATTTAGGATTATCCTAACTCGTTAACAAATGGTGATAAACGTGCCAATTGCCTACTTAATGAAGGTTTCTACCAGGCTGGGAAGTCAGCGGCCACACCGCCTTGGCTTGGAGGGACGTGCCCAGCATTTCTAAGTAAACAAGACAGCAAAGCTAAAGAACTCCTGGAGCACAGTGGAAGTGAACAAAAACCCAACAAAAACATGTGTTCACGTTAAGTTCCTTTTGATTTTGTGGGAAATGCAGGTTCGAGATGAAAATAATCAGTGAGGCAAGAGGAGGAGAAGAAAAAAAATAAAAACAAGAGGCAGGCTTACAAAAGAAAAAACAGAAAAGAAAAGGAGCGAGGAGAAAAATAAATAACCCTGGAGCAAAAACGCAGAGGGGAAAAGAGGGAACAAAAGAGACAAATAGCAGGAAAAGGATCAGTAATGAAAGCCCAGATTACTTGATTCAGTCAAGCCACTGCTTGTGCTGTTCAGGGCAGGGCGGGAAGCCAATTTGTTTTCTCTGGTATTGTTTAGGCTACGAATACCGTGGCAGATTTCCCATCCACTCCCATGTTTATGTCCGTGCTCCAATCCTAGCCACAAAAACGTGTGGGGGAAACACATCCTGAGAAGAGTAAGGGCTGGAAGCTGGAGGATGATACACTTTGGAGCCAAATGGCCTCAAAAAAGCACTTCTGCACCTTATGGCAATTTTGCAGGATAATGTCTCGTTCACGAAATGCTGTGTGGCGGGAGGATTTTCATCTTCAAAATGGGTACAGTGATACCTCTGGGTTATTACAAGCTCCCAGCTGCAAAGGGCTGCCTGTATTTATACAACACTGCATTATTTATAATATTCTTTTCAAGAGCAGGAGAATATGAGTTCTTTCCTCCACAGTTTGACTATTTTTTTTCATCCTTTCTCCCACTTGGAAAACATTGATTTCTTGCCCTCATTTCTCCCACCAGAGCTGTAGCTGACCTGACTGTGTTTAGTTTACTTCTTGAGGCCAGATGCTCAGTGGGTGAAAAGCACAACCAGCCACCCTGGAATAACAGATCTGCCCTGATTTTCTCCAGCTGGGACCTTGTCCTGCCTCCCCAACATCTGCACGTTTGTGGGAACTGATTAACAACTGCTACAACACTGGTGGGGAGGGGACAAAGCATGAAAAATGTTGGCCCCATGGATTTCTGTTTCTGAGTGGGCTTTGACTCTCTTGTACTAAGGATCTGAAGAAGTTTATTGCTGCAAAATCATAAAATATTTAAGACTGATCAAATTTTGTGTGGAAACTATTTGAGAGTGTCAGCTTAGCTGAGAAGCAGCAGGGGTTGTAAGATTTTACAGTCCAGAGCAAACGGGGAGGAATTTCAGTGCGTGTTACATTCTCAGTGTCCTGAGCTGCTAACTCGTGAGCATGCTGGCAAGGCACCCAGAAACTTCTTCAACAACAGAGGAGCCTGGAAAAATTCTTTTTTCCCCTTCTGCAGAACAAATGTACCAAGGACACAGATGTTTCCAAAAGGGTTCTTTTAATCAGAAGCAAGTCTGCAAAAGAAGAAGTAACTTTCTCATATAAAATAGTGGAGTGGTGAAGGTGAGGCTAACAAGAGGTGTGGAACAAAAATCCAGGGCAAATCTCCAAGGAGACACTGAATTAGAAGCAATGATCCGATAACCGGAGTACACCGAAGGGTAGCTCAGACACAGCTGTGTGAGGTGGTCCTACCCCATAGCTGACAGCAGATACCAAATCAGAAGATGGACTCCAGCCCAAGAGAGGCAAAGTGACTAGCTACAAACTCACCAGAATATGGGGTTTTTCACCTTCCTGCTACCTGAGAGCTCCCACTGCACTGTGACAGGCCCCAGCATGGCCCAGAGGCATAATGACATCAAAGGGAGCCCTGGTGGCACTTCCCACCTGCAGAACTCCAACATTCAGTGGTAGCAGAAATTCCCAAATCTAGTGAATTGGACACAAATGGGAAAATACCTTGATATAAAGCTCTGTAACCCCAGTCCTGTCTCTGTATCCAGTGATTCAAGCCCCAAGAAAGTGCACAGTGATCAAACAGCATTAAAATAATAAATTTCCTGTCAAGTCTTGAGGCCTCAAGGCCATTTAAAGTTGGCAAGTGGCAGCTTTGAGAAGATAAAATTCTGAGTCAGAGCCTGAATCTCAAGTGCTAATGGTACTTCACTCCTTGTTCAAACAAATCTCACCTGTCCCAGGTGTCCGTGTGTGCTTATCCATTGTGGCTCTCTGCTGTCGGGCGCTGCAAACTCTATACCTGCACAAAGTGCAAGGCAGCTTTCTTTTTCTGGGAGGGCAGGGGGAGGACAAAAGGAGTACAGAAATAGAAGAACAGAAGGGACTGGAAGTGTCCAAGGCCAGGTTGGAGCAACCTGGTCATAATGGAATGTGTCCTTGCCCTTGGCAGGGGGGTTCAAACAAGGTGATTTTTAAGATCTCTTCCAACCCAAACCATTCTGGGATTCTATGACTTGTCAGGTGGAGCCTTTTAAGGCCCATCATGTTCAGTCTTGGGGTGAACATGTTCCCAATTAAAGGGTGGTTTCCATAAGGAGGTTTCAATGGGTTTTGCAGAGCCACATCATCACATGTGTGGCTTCATTTGAACACCACACCAACAAACCTTTCCCCACCTCTGGTAACCTTGTAACTTCTAGGAACACCTTGATAACGTGTGCATTCCACATGGGCTGGCAACAACCTATAAAAGCAACCTAAGGAATGTGACTGAACTAGCAGGAACTCCAGGCTGAGTGGAACTGTCTGCACTACAACCTGCCCGTGTCCCAGCAGCTCTGTGGTTCTTCCTTTCCAAACATCACCCCTCACTGCGTGTGTCCTTCTGGCTGCTAGTGGTACAGGAGATCAGTAAAAACAGGAGGTCTTGGCATTTTGGTCACTCTTACACATCACAGGCTTCTGGACTTCAAGATTTCTAATGCCTCTGACAGGGGTTAACTTCCTTATGTGGTTATTTGCTTGCTTTCAAAGTTTCTGATAAATTCCTTTTCTAAAAATATTTTTCTCCAACAAGTTTTCCTGTATATCTGAAAGCAACGTGTGGGAGAAGACACCAGTTGTCTGTATGTATAAAGATATCTCTCTCATCCCTTTTTGGAAAGCAGATTAGATAATCTTTGGATGACCCAATGGATTTCTTGAGGGAAGCAATGGCAAGGATAATAAATGCATCCCCATGTCAAGAGATTTAGTCAAAACATTGCTACAGCAGCTTCTGGCAGAGACTTGGTATAAGGAAGAAAAATGAGATCCTGGCCCATTTGCAAAACACCACTGGTTTTAACACTCAAAATGAAGAGTGTTAGAGTAATAGATGAGTTTCTTTTCTGTGTATTTTTCTTTTTTCTCTCCAGTCATGCTGACTGCTCCCAAAAGTGGGATCACTGGCCAAAGTGTGATTCCTTTAGTAACTGTGGATGAAAGCCTTTGCTCTTGCCTCTCCCTGCCCTCCCCATGAAGTCATTCCAGAAGTGACTCCCAGGGTAGGAAATAAGAGACTGTCACTGATGAAAGCAAAGGAGTGCCCTCTCCTGTCCCTTGTCACTACTTCCATTTGTACCTGCACAGCGCTGGCCCTGCCCAAACATCAGAGCATTAAAAGGCAGGAATGGAAAATACCCCACGCAGTGGTGTGGGCCATGGCAGGGACACACCACGTGTGACAGATTTTGGGAGGGATAAAAGGCTCTACTCGGAGTGGGCTGGAACAGCACAGCTCCTTTCATGTGTGCACTTTTGCACATGATTTATGACAGGGACAACTTGAGGTTTGGGGCTGGGAGCATTGCTGACAGTGGTGACTGCTGTCACCTCAGCCCTGCAGGGGGTGAAGATTTGGGCACTTTTTACCTGCAGGAGACTGGATATTTTTACAGCTATTGCATGAAAAACAAGCTCCTATTAAACCATTCTCTGAAATGTCTCCCTTGGTCATTTCATGATGCTGCTTTTATTTTTCAGTAACAGTCACCAAGAGACATGAGAAACAGGAAAAGGGAAATAAATAAATAAAAATAAAATATCCTGAGAAGTCATTTTAAACAAAAGCCTTCATTTTTCAAGACTTTTCTAAACAGGAAGATGGAAATGGAAGAGAATTCAATGGGTGAAGTTACTGTAACATGACAACTAATGTTTAAAAGTTGTATTTCAAGGCTGCAATTTCCAAAGATTGCAGCAATGAAATAGAGCTTTCTTCCTAACTGATGGAATATTTCCTTCCAGATAAAACAGTTTCCCTGATATGTGAAGTAAATAAAACCTACCTATTAACCATATTTTACAAGTTGAGTGTGTTAGCAAGAGGGTGGATGCACCACACATGGAGCTACACACGATCCTGCACAGCAGGAAATGTATCCTGTGCATATGTGGGCACTGCACCTCCTCACTCTGCAACTGCCTATTGAAAATAAACCCATGTGTCAGAAAAGCCAGCTCCTGAACACAACATAACCAAGAGTGACAACTGTGTGGATGAGAATGGAACAGAAACAACTTTGCTGGGATCAACAGGTCCTAAAGGAATCACACCTAACCTGTTATTTTGACAGCAGTCAGAAGAAAAGAGCCACACAGCCAACTCAGCAGGTCCTCAGCAAGCTCAGGCTTTTTAGTTGCAGCTGGTTCTGAGAAAAAAGAAGCAGTCTCTTCTTCTCGCTTTGTATAGATTGTGCTGCTCCCCATGTTGTCCTTCAGCGGAGCAGTGGCCATGAAGTCCATTTCCTTTATTCCCTGTGATTTTCTTGGCTTTTTTTTCCTCAGTGTGGTATCAGATCAACCCCAGGGGGTAACTGCATCTTACACCAAGTGCAAGGCAATATTCAGCAGGTGTGGAGTTACACTATGCCTTTGGAGCAAAGTCTTCGGTGTTCCATCTACTTCCTACTAATTTACATCCCTAAAGTCCTCAGTGGTCCTTGGAGGGCTCCTCCTGCAGCACTACCTCTTACACCTGTTGGACAAGTGCCATTAAAATTCCAAGAGCAATTGCATTGCTGTGTCAAATGTATAAAAACATGTCTAAAATATGTAATCTGATGCAGGAAATGACAAAGGAAAAGGAAAACAAATCAGAAAGTCACGTAGATAATTTTGTCTAAGAAACAAAAAACACAGACTGAAAACAAATTTTGGCAGTTCAGTAATTAAAGCAAAGTCCATATGGCTTAAGAGAACAGTCAAAGTGCACAGAAGGCAGTGGGTTTTTTGTTTGCTTTGCATTCCTCTTCACAGCACACTCCAAGTCATCCTCTTTGGAGCCCCATCTCCATCCCACACACATCCTACCCAGGTGCAGAGAGGGGGATGACTCACAGGGTTTTGGCTCAGCGTGTCTTTGCGAGTCCCTTGCCATCTAAAGAGCTGCAGATCATTATCCCAAACTCAAAAGCCCTTAAACACACCCACTGGAGTTTTTGGTTTTGAACTTTTTCTTCCTGGAACCTTTGGAGAGGAACAGCAATCCAGTGCCAAAGCTATGCAGAGCATGCACCAAGAGCAGCAGTGCTTGAAGGCAGTGCCCAAGAGTAAAAGCAGTTCTGAGATTGTTTGCCCTGTCCAAGAGGCACTGAAAGGTGACAGCAAGGCTGAGCTGGCCCTTGGACCTCAGCTCTGGTGAGGTGCCACCAGGATACTCCCAACCAGGTCCTTGGGCAGCCTGGTTTCAACAACCTCCCCCTGCCACAGATGTCCCACATCCCTTGAGAGAAAAGGGACAATTTTCCATGGTAACAATGCCCACATGAGCCTTGACAGAATATTAGCAAGCACCAATTTTCCTGGCTTATCCACCTGAAAAGAAATGCCAGATCCTGGCGTGACAAGAACTCTCCTACTTCCAAATTCACCTTTCAAACTCTTATGATAAAAAGTCTGGTGACCCAGGACTGTTGCTACTTGGGTTCTTTCAAAGCCTGACAACTTCCTTGTGAGTAAACAACTTGCTACTAAACATGACAGACTCAGGAAAAGAATAGAAAAGAAGAAAGCAAAAAGTGAGCTGTACAAAAGGATGAAAAATAAACGAAAAGTCTCCTCTTTTCTTTCCAAAGGCTGTAATTTCAAGTGCACAAAGCAGGCTGTAAACGTGCACAAGGTAATTCATGACCCCAAAGCCTGAAAAACCTGGTTAGCTTTATTGGGAGACACTTTTTTGCTTCTCCCAGATATGAAGCTGCAGAATCAATAAAAGGCACCTGTGGACACCAAAACTCACCCAATCTGTTTGGTGTGTCTTTCTACTAAAAAAATAAAATCAAACAAACCCTGCCACTGTGTACCTTTTTACAGACCAATAAGCAGAACTGCAGAGTCTGGGTGAGAAAGGATGTTCAACTTCTGTTGGCAGAGCATGGTAACTCTGATGATCAAAACCCTCATCAATTAGTAAATTCGCTAGGTTGTCACTGCAATTTTAATTGAAAAATTCCTCTGGCTTGCTGGGTTGTGTCCTTTGACTTTTAAAAAAATGACTGATTCAAATGGTACATGCAGTCCACAAGGAGGATTAGAGCCACACCGAAAATTAACTGACCTTACATCTGAATTCTTCCCACTTGCTTCACCCACCATTGCCTACAATGCTCTTTTGAGCCATCTCCTCTTCCAAAGGCCCTGGAGTTGGAATATTTAAAGAATGCAGCAGGTCCCATTTGAAGAAGAAAAAAAAGCAGGTCAGTAATTCAATATAAATACACCAGTTGTGAGCTTAGAGCAGACACAGTGACACATCTGAGCCTACATTGATCAGCCAGTGCTCCTAATGTGTGGAGCAGCAAGGAGAAGAGAGGTGTCTGCTTTTCACCTAGAAACGTGTCCATTTTCTATGTTTTACTACTTAACTTTGATGACAGAGAAAAATTAAAAAGGAGAAAGAAAAAAAAAAAAAGGAGTAGAGAAAAAGGAAGAAAAAGGAGCCTGGGAGATTTTATGTTTTCTCTTCAAATCACATCACAGAGTCACTCATTGCATCTAGGGAATTCACCTGCTTGTTTGGGAGCAGTGGGACAGGAGGAGGGGAGAGAAAGAAAGAGGCAAGGAGAAGGGCATGGGAGCTGCTTCCTGAAGCAGTGTTACAAAAAGCGGTTAAAAAACCCCTAATATTCACAAGTGGTTAAAATCATCACTGTTCAGAATTCCTTTTTTTTCTTTTTGTTTTCTTAAACAAAGGTTCAGCTAGTTCAGCTCGCTGTTCTTATAGAGTTGATTGTCTTCAGAAAGGAAAAAAAAAACAAAAGCAAAAAAAAACAAAAAAAGAAAAACCCCCAAAACACCAACAACCCAGCCTCAGGTGTGTTCCCATCCGTTTCTACCCTGATAAGAGAGGTCCCCCAGCGTTCAGCACACGCGGTCACTGTCCCGCCGTGTCCCCAGCCCCGCTCAGACAAAGGACGAGAATCCTGTCACTGGAGTCCGGGAGCCGGGCGCGGGCTGGCCCGTGGGGGTGTACACCCCTCCTGAGCTCTGTGTGGTGATGACAGTCTGGAAATAGGGCTCTGCCTCGCTGGCCGTGCACTCCTCGTATCTGTAGGACGCCGGGTGCTGCTTCACCCCTTTCTGCTGCCGCTTCCACGAGTTGTAGTAGGTGGGGTCGCTCATGTAATGGTTCACAAAGGAGTGCTTGGGCAATTCATCCTCGTAATCCGAGTCAGTGACCTGGGGCATCAGGAAAAACAGAAGTAAATAATTGGTCATTAGTATCGATGATTTTTTTTAGCCTGTTGAGCTCGCAAAGAAATGGGAGGCAAGTTTAGCATCACCAGCTGACTGAAGTTGTAATGTCAAGGTAAAAGGGATGGCAGTCCGAGTGTGGTACAGGCTGGGCTGTGGAAAAGCACTGTGCTCTGCTTTAGCCAGACTTGCTGCTGGAGGGAGAGCCCCTGATGATAAGTGACAAGAGAGATCTCTTCTAATTCCCTGCAGAACGGTGCAGGGGCAGCCAGGAGCTCCTGCTTGGGCACAAGATGCAGGGAAGTGTAGAGAGGTCACACTGAAACCAACAGCTTTCAGTCACAATCAGAAATATTGCAATTACAACTGAGTATCTCTCTTCTGATGGAAGGACAGCAGGGATGCCTTCCACACAAACACTGGTTAGCCAGGCCAGTGTTTGGGGTGGCCAGCCCAAGCCACCTGCACAGGACTCTGGGTGTTAAGTATTGAAAATTAGTTCTATAACTGGAAGGAAGTTAAGTAAAATCAGACTTTTTACAGGCAAATAACACTATTTGCATGTTCCAGCTGATTATGGGTGGTACAAGGTACACAACCAGCGGCAACAGAAGAAAGAGAATGCAAAATCTGGGAAAGAAGAGCTGCCAGGCAGGAGGGGCTGCTTCCTTGGGATGAGTCAGACCCAGCTCTGCGCTCAGAGCGGATCCTACCCCTGAAACATTTATGCACGGTGGCTGGAGAGCTTCAAAGCTCCCATCAATATCAAGCAGGAGCTCTATTGAGATGTAACCAGATAAGCTCTGTGCATCTGCCCCTCCTCTGAAGTGCTGCTGCTGGGATGCAGCTGGAGGAATCACAGAGGGCTTGTACATCTCTGCTGAGTGCAGAGACCACGGCAAAGCCTCAGCCATGGAATCTCTGTGCACATTTTCCTTCTGTTCCCACTGATGTTCCCACCAGTAACAGCCCCATCCCATGCAGCACACATTTACCCAGGCATTTCCAGATCTCATGCCTTCCTTCAAAATCTCCGCTTAAACCATGCAAAAGCTTTTATTCCTTTCCCTCCCCCACTCAATAATCTGCATTGCCAATTCTAGAGGCAATTAAATATCAAAGTAGGAGCTGCCTAAGACACACAGGAGAGACAGGTAAGTGCAGCTCATCACTGTTCGTTGCTGCAATTAGTTTCAAAAGGTTGGTGTGGTTCTGATCTATGACACCATCCAGCAAACACACATCCTTCTTGATCCTGCCTGCCACAAAACTTGTCTTTCCTCCTCTAAAGCTCCTTTTTAATGGTCTCTGAAGAACAATCCTCAAATGCCTTGTGAACCATCGTTTGAAAAGGGCACAGCATCCATCATCCCGCTTCTTTGCTTAGGTAGCTGCTTCAATACTATTCTGTGCCCCTTTTCCGGCACAGAGGGTGATGGACAGAGCTAAGAAATTTTTCCCAGTGCTTTCCAAAAGTGAGCAAAGCAGCTCTTTACAGCTTTGCAAAACTTCCTTTCCACTATTACCCAGGCTCTGGCTCTTCAGAAATTATGTACTGTTTGATTTTTAAGAATTAAAATCTTCAGGTGCCTTGACAAGTAATTACTAATACAACAAAGCCCTACCAACATTTAATAATTATTCCAGAAGGAACACAGCAAGCCTATCTCCTAGAAAAACACTCCTTTGCACCAGCTGCCAGGCTTGGGAAGCCAACACCCGACTCCCTCCAAAGACCTCCCTGAACAGGTGGTTTTTGCAGCATTCCTGGAATATCCCCAGATCTGGACTGCTTCACAGCCAGTGGGTGCAGAGAGCAGCTCCAGAGTCTTGGCACTGCTGCCAGGAACATCCTGCCAGCACTGCCCTGTCTGTTTTTGCAAGGGGCTCCAACAGGAGTGGCAGGGATGGCTGCAGATGTGGCAGCAGGGCAGGGCCTGGCAGCAGGAGCTCAGGCTGCTCCTCAGCTGCAGACACAGCCAACTTCACCAAAAGATCCCCAAACCCTGGTTCCTTCTGTCCTCAGCAGGAAAGAACTTATTGCACTCTGCATCAGTCTCCAAACATGATGCTGTGAGTCCATAGTGCAATTTTAAGGTAAATGCCTGGGAAGCTGAGGGATGACGTGGAAGAAAAGTCTCTGCATCCTGAGCAGAGGCAGGATAACTCACCAGAAGCAGCACCCAGAGATGTGAACTCCTCCAGCTCCTTTGGATGTGCTCTCTCTAGCAAAGGCACGAGGCACTGCTCTCCCATGGCCTCTGACTCCTTCCCCAGCCCACCACCACTTTTACAGACTCAGACACTCTCAGCCACCCAACAAAGAAACAGCTCCCTGCTGAACAGAGGCATCACAGCTCAGCTGAGGTGGCATCAGCATGAGGAACCAAAAAAAACCCCAAAAAGTTCTAATGGCTCTTTATGAATCTTCCTGATGTCCCCACAGACACACAGGATCTGCGGGGTTGGATAAAGCCAACTAAAAGCTGGAAGCCCCCAGGAGAAATGCAGAGAAGGATGTGACATGACTTTATAGCTGTAATAGTACTTATGCAGCCACTTGAGCTCTGTCCATCACAAGCAAAAAAACCACTCACTCACAAAACTAATGTAATTTCTGTTCCTAAGCCAAGTTCTTTCAATATTGCCAGAAGTCAACATAATAAAGAGAAGAAATCCCAGGAATACTTTAAGATGGGCTGCTACTGTCTGAAATACGGTGCACTCAGATTTGCCATGAACTGAAAGAGGGAATTTAAAACAATACCACTTGCTGTTAATTTCTCCACTCAGTTCATTGTACCAACGGAAAGGGAACAATAATTTGGTGTAAATAACGCCAGGGTCTTTTAAAGGAAAGACTGTCATGAAGCATATAGAGCTGCAGTAATTTCAGCCTTTCACCATCATTCAGACTGATGCTGGAATGGATAACCTGCTTGTTAGTGTTGATACAACAGGTTTTTTCTGTATTTCTTTCAGGACAGGCAGGAACTGACTATTTTGTCGGTGTTTCTGAAGTACCTCCTAAGGTCTGCTCCCAGTAAGACTCCGGAAACCACCTTTATCAGCAAGGAATGCTCTCAACTGGCATTCCACAGCCCGATGAAAATCAAGGAGAAGTAAGATAAATCTGTTTAGCATGACAATACAGACAGTTTATACTGGAGGATTACTCTTTAGTGGTTCTTAAACTATTGAGTAAATAGAAATGCTGCAGGGCTTTTTGCTTTGTTTTCAGTTTTCTCCTTTCCCTGCGACTGTGGCTGTGTTACCTTGGAAACCTCCATAGGCTGATTGGGTGTGTGGTGACATTACACACTGTCAACCTAAGGTGCATGGATGCCTATGAAACAACAAATACAGAAAATGAGAGGCTATTTAGGTATATTTTTCATAGCATAAAATTCATAAGTGCTGCTCAGAAGCAAGTCAGCCACCAGAGTTGGCTGGCTTAGTCAGTGGGAAATGTGATAATAAATTTGATAATAGTTCCAGTTATCCTTTTAAGTGACTACAAAAGAAACAGCCTTACAAGATTACTTCTAAAAATGTAGATAACAGCAGGATTTTTTTTTTTTTGTTGGCCTGAAATAAATATGCTGTAAAAGAGACAAGGTATGCCAAATATTTCTCTGGACATGGGAACACATTCTTATTTTATGTGTCACTTGCAGCTGGTTTCCACATAGTGCCCAACTTATCAAAATCACTGGAGAGCTTTACTGGAAGCAAGTTAAACCCTATTCCCTCTGAAGTGTTAAGTGGAAATGAATAACTTCCTACAGAGCTGAGAAAGCCAAAGCCAGTCAGACTGCAGACAGCAGTGGGAAGGCCAGAGGATCCAGCACTGCCTGATAACGTGTGCAACCTGTGAGAATATTTTCTCCTGGAAACAGTTTTTGGGAGACCACAAGGACATGTGAGAACACACAAACATGCACCAGCTTCCCCTCTCCTCCTGCTCTTCCTTGGCTGGATGACACTGCAGGTACCTCATCAGATTTCTACATGCTGAACACCAAATTTTTTCAGATTATGTGTCTAGAGACTTGTCCACTTGACTCATTAACAAAAAGCCTATTATTATTAATAATTTAGAATTTACACTCATATCAGTCTCCTGCTCCATACCTGCCAATTAAACTTCTTTAACCTCATTAACAGTACTGGTGCTTGGCTTTCATGACATGGAGTAAGTTCACCATTTGATTTATGAATGTTGAGAGTCCTCCTTGATTTCCTCTTTGTTTCTGTGTGTCTCTCCCCTCCAGGAGGGAGCTTGGAGGAATGCTCCCAGGCTGCTGTGTTTTATGTGCAGTCAGCCAGCCCAAGAGTTCTTCATGTTCAGTAAACCCCAGGAGACTTGAAGCCAGTGAGCTTCCTTCTTTTCCATATAAAATCTTGACACCTCAGGTAACAGGGATAAGACTAAGCAGTAACATGGTGACAAGTGGATTGAAGGCAAAGGCACAGTTTTTGTCCCTGCCTGCCCTGATGTGCAACATATTAAGTGGAATTTGAGACCCCCACACAGATGTATTAGAGGAAAACAGCATCAGGACCCTCTGCTGCAGGGGACCAAACCTGGATACAACTCTTACATGAAAAGATATCTTTAACTCTTCATCTAATGGAAAATATTTCTGCCTGCCAAGGCAGATAGAAAATCCGAAACTCTCAGAAAACAGAGCTTGTCTATTAAAATCTCCTCTGAGAACAGAAACTAAAAGAAAAACAGGAAGAGCTAATAGGTACAGGAACACTTGAAAAGAGAGTGGTCAGTCATCGATGCCCACCTCTGCCCCAACCCACCCTCACCTCCTGTCTGCACCTGCCAACATAAACAGCATTTTCAGGCTGATCAAAAGGCAGCATCTCCTACTGCTACCTCTACTGGGAGTATATTAACATTTCATGACTAAAAGCACTCCCCACTACAAAAAAACCCAAACAAGCATCAAAGACATTATACAGGCGGGCTGCATATCCAAGCCCAAAGGAAAAACAGGGGCATATTTTATGCACATACTCATGTGCACATCCACATTCACAAAAACACCAGAATCTCAACTGAGACCTGCAGGCTCGACAGCAATACAACAGTAAATAAACAATATCAATAGCCTGAGAAAAAAACCCACCAAAATCACTTAATTCTCTGCTGTACAAACAGTGCATATAGGAGGCATAATGACACCCTGCAAGGAGACTTCTGCACATCACCAGGAAACACCACACGGGACATTGAAATTAATGTCAAAAGGTGCCAATGCTAAATTCACGATCATGCTCAGCAAACTGTTTTAATGACAGGTTTAATGCTGGGTTGTTACAGTGACATGACCAAAGCACTGAGGGTTTAATCTGGAGGGTAATGCTGGAGCATTGCAGAGACAGCAGCTTGAGCTGCACCAAGGAAAGCTGCCTGCACGATGGGTCGGCCACAGGGCAGCACAAAGCAGCAGGCTGTCGGTGGTAATTAGCAGGAGGTGAGAGCTAGGTAGCCAGGAAAAGCAGCTGTAGCTGCAGGTGCAGAAAAGCTACAGATGAAAACTGTCATCTTCTTTCATGACTTGCTGCCTGTGATTTTTTTCTTGCTGGAAGGGTCAGGTTTGGCATGGTTTGGCCCACTGCTCGCTTCTTGCGCTGTCAGTTTGGATTCGTCAGAGTCTCAGCTGACAGCATCTGATTTTAGAGACAGATTTACCTTTCTGGATCTCTTTGAAGTCTGTCTATTCACCCATGGCCACTGCTGGACTTCCACAGACAGCAAGCACTTCTTCCTTCTTACAGGGAATGTGAAACACAAGATGGAGCCCTGCCAAATGGATAATGCTGGCAAACACCCACCTTCCGTGGAGAGCAGTCTACAGGCAAGGCTGGGGTGTTCAGAGGGCTGAATACTGGGCCCTCACAGCCATGGCCATGGCCATGTGGCTCCCTGGCAAGTTACTCACTCCCCACCTACTCCCTCTGTAACCAAGGCAGTGGCTGTCACCACTCAGGCCACTCCTCTGACTCCTGGGCTGTGCTGTAGCTGTGAAACTGCAAACCACATTCCACACTTCAGTCAGTGCAACAGTCCAAAGCACATCTCACCTTTAACCTCCCCTAGACAGCAGCTGGTTATTTTGCAGCACATGTGTGGTTTCCCAAAAGTGCTCCAAGTTTGCAGCCCACAGGCAGAAGGAGGTGTGCAGATCCTTCCAGAGGGGTCAGCACACACTGTCTGACTGATTGCACTTATCTTTCTTTCTGACTCTGGAAAACTGAATATCTGCCAAGGCCAGGTCTGGAGTCTGCCCTGGCTGGGTCCTGCTTGTCATTCTTTCCTTTGATATTTTTATTTTAAGATGTGCTGCAAACAGCCTTGTGAATTGAACCTTTTAAAATCCCTGAGACAGACAAACAGTGACCACGCAGCATGATGCAGGTATGGGACTGGGACTTCAAAGACTTGCCAGGATTCAGCATGGAAATGATTATCTGCAGTGTCTGTGCAGTGTGAGGCAGAGGGAAATCCTTACCTCTGACTCTGACACTTCCAGGGGCTTCTCGTTGAGGCCCAAGCCCTCGGTCAGCACAGCCCCGTTGTACTTGTTGCAGATATCCTCATCAGAGTAGTGCAGCCCCCCTGGGCTTGGCCGAGGAGGAGACCTAGGAAATGCAAAGGATGAGTGTTTGGGATGTTGTTATTCCCCTGGAATTAATGAAATCATGCTTAGAAGCCAGAATCACAGCTTGAAGCAGAGACTTGGGTGTTTAAGTCCTCCCCGGATTCTTCAGTCAGACTCTTTAACAGTGCTTGAAGCTAAAAAAAAGACATTCCAAAAGCACATCATTCCCAGCTTTTTACCTGGTTCCATTTTTCTTTGAGAAGGTGCTCTTGATGTTCAGGTGTCTGCTGTTGAGCTCCAGAGCAGTGAAGCCTCCATTGTCCAGGGTGACTGACTCTTCCACGTTGGAGATGGTTTTACCTGGAGACAGAAAATGAAAGTTCAGCTGAAACAAAAGCACTTTTCCCCCAAATAGAACTGCAGGAGCAAACTTCTCCTTTTTTTCTGTTTTATGACATCAATAATTATTTGAAATTCTTTTTACTTTTCTTACTGCAAGGGAGAACAGAGTGAAGGCAAGGAGTGTATCAGGAATGTGAAGGGGCAGAGGAAGCCAAAAGAGGAGAAAAGAGTCATGGATGGATAAATGGATTTCATTCAGAGGCAAGTATTTAAAATAGTGCTTATTTTTGGTTTTTGACTATAAACAGAAACCAGATAACTAAATTAGGTGCTCTGAATCCCATTCGATGCTGACTGAAGCAAAGCAAGAGACAGTAAAACTAGAAAAGGTAGAAAAAGAGGAAAAGAGGAAAGGTAGAGAGAGGAAAAAAAAGCAGGGAAAAAAGCAAGATGAAGGGTAAGTGGATAGCAAATGGGAAAAACATGCCACAGCTGAAATGGGGATCAGGTATGGAGAAATCACTGATAATGTAAGGCAGGAACAAGGATGGGAAGAAGAAGGAAAATACAGCCCACTGTATTATTTCTTGTGATAGAATCTAGCAGGAGCTTGTTCTCTCCTGTGCTCATCCTTTGTCATCCCAAAGGTGTGACTGAGCCCGTGTCCCAGGGAGAAGGGCTGGCTGCCCCTTCGCAGCAGACAGGTGCTTTATCCTCAGCTTCAGGTTCAGTGCTGCATTAAGGCTCTGTGAACATGGATATCTGACAGCACAGGTCAACCTGCCTTTTCATGTCTGTCCCCCAAACACAGTAAAACTAAGAAGATGAGAGACTTCCTATGAGCTGTGCATACAAATATGTAATAGTATTAACTTGGTAAAATGCCACGGTATTCATACATCTTCTATCTCATGGGACTGAAATCTGATTCTAACACTTGTTAGAAGTGAATTACAAAGAAAGAGAGGATCTTCACTTTGGGACTGAATTACTAAATACTGCCTGGAAGACTTCATTACATTAATCCCTAAGAACAGGTAGTGCAGAGACCCATCCACCTGATCCTTTTCATTAATGTGCCTTTTCTGGCACCTCCTGGCATCAGAGAAATTTCCTGCTGCAGGTGGAGGAGGCTATCAGAGAAATACATATGTGAACAACCCTCTCAGGACTTTATCATGCAGGGAGAAGAAATGGTAAAAGCAATATTCAGAGCTCAAGAATGAGGCTTTTTCAAAGGGGACTATTTGACATTCCAAGTTACAGAGCAGGTAGCTCCTGTTTCCTTTCAAGAAAGGAGACTGGTAAAAATCTTCACTAAAGGAAAATTCAAAGCTTGATGCTCACTATATGTTAAAATCTAACAGGTCCAGATAACCAAGACACCTCCTGGCTGCTTGGCCCCCAGCCCAGCAACTGCAGCTTGACTTAGGGAAGGAATGTGAGATGCAGGGCACCCAATATAAAGGAATTGTGACACAGTCCTTACACAGAGAGATTTAGAATATCCACACTGGCACAGCCATGGAGAAGCAGAATCTTTCTCCTTCTCCCCATCTATCAGGGTATTATGATAAACAATGTCTCAGCTAATTCCTTATTTATTCCTTATCTGCCAAATGTTTGACCCAGACTTCTTGGCTTTTACTGCAGTCCCTGGGACTTCCAGAGTCTGTCCTGTCTGAGTCCATGGCTGGCCAGTGTCTAAACCCTGATTCAGTGTGGCAAGGGGCAAAAGCCATTTCTACCAAACCAGACAGCAAATGTTCCAAGTCTTCTGCCAAGCAAAATAGCTGTGAACACAGTCCCTGCTGAGGAAATCAGAGGTTCAAAGGAAAGGATCTCTGATTCCCACAGCTTTTGAGACTTTTGCACAGCACAGAGATTATGACTTACCTCCATTGCAGTTCTTGTACTTCTTGCTCTGGCCGTGCAGGACCAATGCAAACACCACCAGCAGGATGAGGATGAGGCTTGAGAGAGCCATCACCAGCAGAAACCACCACTCCTCATAGAAAGGGGCTTCTGTTTGTGCTGAAAGAGCAAAAAACAAATTACAGTTCCTTTTTATGCCCCTTTAAAATTTTCTCTTGTTCCCCACAGGGAACGATGACTCTGCAATGGTGCTCAGGAGAGATGGGGTTCAGGCTCTCAAGGGGTTTGCTGACCCTTCTAAGATGGCAGAGAACAGGAGCATATCACAGCTCCAAGCCAGAACCCCAGGATGGTTTGGGTTGGAAGGGATCTTAAAGCTCATCCAGGGCCACCCCCTGCCATGGCAGGGACACCTTCCACTGTCCCAGGTTGCTCCAAGCCCCGTCCAACCTGGCCTTGGGCATTTCCAGGGATGGGGCAGCCACAGCTTCTCTACAATCAGTTCCATCTCTACAAGCACCTTTCATACCCCTGGAGCAGCTCCAGAGGCCCTTAGCTAAGTTATCACCAGGAGAAGAGAGGCAGGTTTCTTCCCACAGCTCTGCACACCTACATTTCTGGACCATGGCAGGCTTAGCACTCCTGGGTCAAGGGAACCACTAATACACATGCCATGACCCATGATTATTCCACTTTTTGGGAGGCTTACCGTGCCAAAATGCTGTTTCAAAGTGGCTCTTTGAAAAATACAGCTAGTGCCAGGGAACAAAGCACTCTTGGTTCAGCATCTTTCAGTACCTCCATTAACTCCAACTTCCAACATTCACTGCTACTCTATATCACTTCTCCATCCACTGAGCCAAGCCTGATGTGCAGCACAGGGATATCAGTTCAATTGCCTGGATTTTGTGCAGTCTCAGGTCATTTCACCCTGTTTGACCTCAAGTGGAAACAGAAAATGACACTAACTTCCCCTTTCCGGAGTTACCTCGCCAGTCTTGGTTTAAAGTAATAAGTATTGTTTTCTTGCAATGATATTCTCTTTGATATCCTCCCTTGAGCTCCCTCAGCTTTGGGGAAAATTTGCAGCTTCTGAGCATGAGCCAGCAGCTGATATAATTTCCCTGTAGTCCTTAAGGTGGAACACCACCTGGCAGGAGGGGGCGATGCCAGGAGAACAACCCAACCTCTCGCTATCACCAAACCCTCTTTCCCTGACTGTCCCAAGCATGGATCTGAATAAAAGTCTGTTTTAAGCCCAATGATATAAGCTCAAATTTGTTCCAGAATACCGGGTATTCTGCAGCAGGGAAAAACAGCCACACTCTTTCTTTGCTAGGAGGCCAGTCCAGGCCAATAAAATCCTAGAGACAAACTGCACAAGCCATGCTGGGATGAGCAGATTCAGGGCAATTTATACCTCTCTGTGCCAGCTGAAGTGGCCAGCCTAAAATGCTTTATACTTTTATGACTGTGAATCTCAATGGAAGCCTCTTACTTTCATGCAGCAATTTGAGAGGAACACTGAAGCATCAAAAGGAGGTGAATTAAATAGTTCTGTTCAAGTGGAGAACTTACAAACAAGCAGTTTATTTATAGAAAGTATCACAAGGAGATGCATGCCCTGCTTCAGAGGAATAATGTCTTCGAGCAAAGGAAAGACTGACATGATTGCTGGTCCTTTATACTGTGTTACAGCCTCTCTGAAACCCCAGACAGGAAAAACACCGACTCCTGGTGTTTGAAGTAGGTTGTCCATGCCCTTGTCCTGAAGAAGAAAAGCAGGGGTAGCACTCACAGTGAAATCCATGGAAGCTCTCATTAGGTAAGTGGTTAATTGTGTCAGGACCAGCGCAGCAGCCGCAATGGCGAGAGCAGCACTTGCTACTCCTGCCTGCTGGGGAGTTGTTGAATGGTGTTCATGCCTTTCACTGGAGCAGCAAAGAGATAAAAGCCACTCCAGATACTGGAGCACTGCCAGGTTCTCAGGACTCTCCAGAATTTTGAATCACAAAGTCTCTTTATCAGATTCTTTTATTTCCCTTGTCTTTGCTGACACAGCAAGGATGAAACCTATGGCTCAAAAGTAACCTGGAGTAGAGTGGGGGAAGAGGAGACCCAGCAAAGCCTTCCCAAGAGCAAGGTCTCTCAGAAGCCAAGGCATTCAGCTGCCCAGCCCAGGCAAACTGAGAGGAATTTGATTTTCAAGGTATTCAAGCCCCTTCAGAAAACTAGAGGGTGGGCTGCTCACGGGGATTGGGGAAGCACGTTTAGGTCATAGCCCTGTTTACTGGGAGTAAGCACAGGAGAGTGGGAAGAGCACCAGAGCATCACAAATGAGCTGCTCTGGTGGAGGGGGACTGGAGCAGGACTGCCAGCACAAAGGATTGTCAGGAATAACGTGAAACTACACTTCTGTATTTGTGAGAGCTAAATACAAAGTAACACAGAAAATGTTTATCAGAGTCAAGAGTAAAAAAAAAAGAAAGCAGAGCAAACAAAAACCATTCTAGGAATGGGGAAAAAGCAAACAAATTGCAGACTCTACAAATTAGTCTTATGACAAGAGATCTGACATACACACTCTGAGTAGGTTCTTTATCAAGCTTAAAAATGGCACATGCACATTTTCCTCTTGAGAATCGAGCATACTGTAATTTCAAACCTTTATTCACCACTATATTATTCCAGTTTTATCCTAAAACAAATGAAAACAAGCTGTCTTTGATTATTTGCTGCAGTTAGAGAGTCTGATTTGTTTCCTTTTCCCCTCTTCTCCCTCAGCCTCGGGAAATTCCATTGAAAAAGACTTAAAAAAAAAAAAATTCCATGATTACCTGATACTGCCACAGAAGGAACACTTGGCTCTCCATAGCCAAACTCGTTGACAGCCACCACCCGAAATTCATAGGTGACTCCTTGTCTGAGTTTGTCCAGGCCCACTGTGTAGGAGGTGGCACTGCGAGGGATGTCCTTCACAAACATGTCCCAGAGTCCTTCATCTAGGAGAGCAGCAAGGAGAGAAATGGCATCAGCTGTGTGCCCTGGCACTTCCACCTGCTCAGTGAGAGAGGTTGTCACCAGTGCTGTGCTGGAGCCACAGGCAGGGACACACTCCCCTGGAGGCTGCCCTGTGGTACACACAGATGTTAGAATGCCCTGCAGATTAATGCATCTGTGAATGCATTAATTCAGGATGGGAGCTTTTCATAGCCCAGATGGAAGAGGTCTGTCAATCAGCAGCAGCACCCACACAGACCTGAGCTGGCTGGAGCAGCTGCCACTCCCTCACCCATCAGCACATCTGTCTTTTGATAGATCAGGTAAACCCAAGGCAACATTAATGAGTCCTAATCACAAAGGCTTTGCTTGCCTTTTACACTGCAAAATTTGCTTTGTTGTTGAAGCACTCAGGTGAGGCTTGGACAACTATAAGTCCTGGGAGGCTCTGTGGTGCCAGGGGACTGGTGTCACAGGAGTGCTGCTTGCTCCATGACAGCAACAGTGATGTGTCCTTTGCATGGCACAAAGCTGGTGCTGCACTCTGTGCTCTGCAGTTTTAAACAGAAATGAGTTTTGTTTATTTTTATAAAGTTGTTGAAGCTGTTAGAAGCACAATGCCATTCTGATGGGAGCATTTCAGTAGGGTAATCTTGGCTCTCCACAGCCATAATGACATTAATCCTGATTCACATCCTGACGAGGCCCCATCCCATCCCTGTACCTCACATTCACTTGACTACAATGGAATGAACTTTCAAGAAGATGGATTCCGGTACCAGGAGCAACAAAACCAACTATAATGAAAAATACCACTCAAAAATGTTGAGGGCAGGAATCAAACATTAATCTGACTGATTAACTTCCCAGTAAAAATTGATGCCCAGCACTTCTGCTGAGAAAATGGAGTCTCTGTCTACACGTGGGGCCAAACCCTCAGCCTGCCTGCCCAGCATAGCTCTCACAGACCTGACCTCACAAGCATCCCATTGGGCTTTTACTTTTAGCTATCAAAGCTGTTCCAACAATATCTATTTTTCTCTCCATGTCCCACAGCAGTGGGGATAGGATGATAACCTCTCCACAGACACGACTTCAGTGTGGGAGCTGCCTGCTTTGAACGATCTGCACTGTGTTCTCGCCAGCAGCAGGACTTCTGTAGCTCGAGGTGCTATCAAGGTAACAATAAAGCAGGAGCCAGCCCTGTTACCCTCAGTGACTCGTTCTGCTGCAGTGTGAGGCAGGAATCTGTTCTCATTTGCTTTGCCTTTACCTGAGTGTAACCTAATTGGAGTCACTGCAGCGATTCCAGAACTGTGCTGGTGTAACAGAGCAAGACTGGCCCTCAGCCTGCTCCTGTGCCACAGGGAATAGCAGCAAAGATGGATTGATTAACACTGCAGGTGCATTTCCATGTGAATGTTTTAGCTTTGGCACCAGTAAATATTTGGCTCGGTGATTTGCACTGTGCTGCACGTCTGGTGACACACACAATGAGTAACAGCCCCGAACTACAGCTTTTCTGGTCAGGAGGATTGGCAGTCTCAGCAGATGCAAAAAGCAGGCTGGAATGTTATTGTTCCAGCTGCATTTGAGAAACACCAAAGAACAATAAAAACAGGTAATTTTCCTGCCATGCTTAAAACTCGGACCAATACATTATTCAACAGCATGATCAGACTATAATGAAGTTATCATAATGTACCATTGTTATGTATTAGCTGGGTATTACAATGGCTATAAAACAAGAGATAAAATATTGACTTCCCTTTTACAGGGCAATAGAAGCCGAGATTATTTCTACCACATAAAGTTACAATGTAATAAAAAGGGAGTTTGGGATTTAGTTTCTCTGAAGAGGGTGGAGTGAGGGATGCATTTTCAAAGTTGGATTGTTGCAGCCACCAATACTCAGAAGATGCATCTCACGACTACAAAATATTGCCATATTTGCTTGAATTGCCTAAGCTTTCATAAACACATTTGTAAACAGCAATAAGAGAATTTGAGCCCATTGTGAATTGTCTGAAAAGCAATTTGTTTGCATTCAAAGCCACTTAAATAGGGGAAGAAAAAGCAACAATAAAAGTGAATGTTCAGCACTCATTACAACAAACACAACTGTTCAGACACACACTTTCTCACTCATTTTCTCAAAGCTATCAGGGTACACAGTGCAGAAAGCCCAACAGACCAAGAAGTGTAAATTTAACCGCTTTGTGAAGCTTGCAGTAAGTTGGGAAAACCACCCCTGAGAGGTCAACATTGCATTTCCTCCTCTCTGTCCCCTTGGCTATGGTGGTAATGGTGTGGGGCAGCAAAGGATGCTGGTGGATGTTTCTTCAGAGAGATTTCTGTCTCACAGGGACTCAGAGATGCTCTAGCTGGTGGCCATGTAGTCACTGGCCCATCTCCCTTTCATTCACTGAAAGAATATTTGTCAAAACTTTGGTTTTTTCCCTGGGGTAGGACTGTCAGTGCTGAGTTAATGGTTGGACTCGATGATCTTGGAGGTCTTTTCCAACCTTAATGATTTTAAAATGGGACCCAGCTCATTATCCCTGAGGTCCCAGAGAGGTGCTGATGCAGCTACAGTGGACAGATGTCCTACGTCTTCCCCACTGCTGACCCCTAAGCACAGCATAGCCTGTGGCTTCCCTAGCCCTGACCAGCAAGATTTTTAATCCCAGAGCCTCAATTAATTTATCTTATATCCATCTGGGACATCCAGACTCCTCTTTGTAAACAATGATCACAATCAGATATATCCAAACTAAAAAATCACTTTATTCCAGTAGTGAACTTTGAGATTAAATATTGAACACACACTTGTGAATTCCTTCACTGCACCTCTCTCCCATCCTCAAAACCAGGTACGCTCTAGGTATGCTCTAAACGTTAGAAGTTCAGCTGAAAGAGAATTCATTAGAAGGTCACCTGTGATTGCAGAGACTGGCCTTCCAGTTCAGTAGAAAATCCTTAGTGTACCATACACAGCATTTTCTGCACAGTTTAGGGAGGAAAGATGCACATGCCATGGCTGGGACATCAGCTGGGTAATAACTCTTAGAACCACTGGGAAGAGCAAGTTTGCAACACTTAACAGGGCTCAGGCGCAGGGCTCAGAGGGGCATCCCCAGGGAAGCTGCTCTTGCTTTTTCTTTTCAGTCACATCAGTCCCCATCTTCACTCCCCACTGCCTTTCACTGGGCACTCAGCCTCTCAAACATGTGATGGAAAAGCAAGCGCTCTTCAAAAAGGAAAGATTTTTCTTTGCTCCTTGTTTCTGTCAGTTTGCCCTGCCCCATCCTAACTCCTGCTGATGGGAGATTTGCTCTTCACCTCCCAGCCTCGATGCCTCTGTCCCGCCTGAGCTTGAGGATCAGGCACAGGGAGAGGATCTGAGTGGCAGGGGAAGGTGAAGCCACCTCTGCCCTAACGCCGTGTCCAGCCCACGTTGGAGAGGAGCTGCTCTGCTCCCGTGGGCCAGCCCAGCTTCACAGGCCATTAATCAGGGTCTCCACGCTAAATAAAGCTGTCACTCAGCGAGGGAGGCTCCCAGCTCCACTAAATCCAGCCACTGACAGCCCAGGACATGGAGAGCTGTCAGTTATCTGGGTTTTAAACACCAGCAGTCCCCTCTCAGAGCTCCCTCCTAATTACACATTAGAAGGTTTATGAGGGAAGAAGCTGCTGAGAGTTAAGGCCCGGCTGAACGCCACTGGTGTTCCTCCTGCAGAGGACACAATTAAACGTGGCTGTGTTTGTCAGAGGCAAAGGGCTGGATTATCATGCAAAGCAGTGGAAGGACAAGAATGGGAAGTGAAGGCTGACAAACTGTCAGGCCCGGTGTGTCGCTCGCCAGCAGAAGTGAAAAAGGCCCCATGGCAGATGCCGGGGATGCAGCTGCACCCTTCACTTTGAATTTACTGACTTCTGCTGGTTCGTGTCCATGTTTGACACCGCGCTCCCTCATTTGGGTAAAAATAAATAGAAAGGGAAGAAAACAGAAAAACACCACTCAAGACACCAGAAAGGAAACTAAAGCGAGCGCTGCCCTCAGGGCGTGGGAAGCAAAACCCAGCATTTATGAGGTAGCCAATTCCCACTCCAAATAGATGGATTCTTTCCCTAAATCTCTGTTGCCTTCATGGAACTCATCATCTTGAAAGATGGAGAGGGACTTTTTACAAGGGCATGGGGTGACAGGACAAGGGGGAATGGCTTCAAACTGCTAGAGGGCAGGGATAGATGGGATATCAGGGAGAAATTCCTCCCTGGGAGGGTGGTGAGGCCCTGGTACAGGTTGTCCAGAGAAGCTGTGGCTGCTCCATCCCCTGAAAGTGTCCAAGGCCAGGCTGGAAGGGGCTTGGAGCCACCAGGTCTAATAGCAAGTGTCCCTGCCCATGGCAGGGGGATGGAACTAGCTGATCTTTAAGGTGCCTTCCAAAACACACCATTCCATTTAGGTGCAAATCTCTTCCAGTTGCCTGACATCATCCCCTGCTTGGCAAAAGCACACAAAGTCCAAAATTGTGGTGGGGAGAAGAAGCAGAATAGAAAATCTCCCTCTGCTTGTTCTGGGTCAGGGAGGCTCTTTCTGAGGTGACAGAAGCCAGGAAGATGTGTCACTTATGGACATGGGCCAGTGGTGGACATGGCAGAGTTTGGTTTATGGTTGGACTTGATGACCTGAAGGGTCTTTTACAATCTAAATGATTCTGTGAGGCCCAACAGCTACACAGCTGCTCTGCACAGGCTGACCCATGGATGGAGGTCTCATGGGGCAGCTCCACATCCAGGGGCACTCCTGGCCTGTGGATCCCCGGGATGTTTCACAAACACCTCCCTTGCAGACAGGGGAAGGCAGCTCTGGCTGGGAATGCACAGGCCACATGCCCACCACTAAAGCACAGTGACAGGAACCTTTGGATAGGACCTGGAGCTGGGAAAAGAGGGGTGAAGCCAGCTTCTCCATTCCTCCCAGCAGCACTGGGAACCTTGTGCCATTTGTCTTTTGCTCTGTATGTAAAAGCTGAGGGCACAATCTATTCCCCATTCCTCAGCCAGCCCAGCTGATGTCTGGGGAGCATTTACAGTGGCAGAGACAGAGCCTGCTTAATTGCATTTCTTGTAATGCACACAGAGCTAAACTGGAATCCATTTCTCTAAGGACAGAGAAGTTGAAGGAAAAGAAAAACTCCTCTTTTCTGTAATGTCGTCCTCTAGCACAGATCACTCTGGAAAAAATATTGGTTTGCCTGCTTCATCCCTGTGTGTGAGAGTACTCAAAATGCAGAGGAGGTACTGAGCCTGGTCACCTTCCATAAAGCCAGCAGAGAAACAGGGAAATCAAATGAGCAGTCTCAGCTGCCTGCTGCCACCATTGCTAAACCCAGCAGGGCAGAGGAGCCCTGGGAGACACAGCAGGGCTCCGAAAAATTCAAAGGGAAGTGACAAAAGGGAGTAAGGTTTGCCATTTCTGACAGAAAGCCATCCTCCTACTCTGATGGAAGAGTCTTGGCAGGGAGCTACAGCAGGGAAAATGAGATGATACAGCATTTAACGTTTGGGGTAATGAGGCCTGTAACAGATGACACTTGAGATGTGAAACACTAAGGTGGTGGTATTGCATTTAAATATTGGCAACAAGCTAAAGCTTTTCATCTGCTGCTCAACGCCCCCTTTTTTGACCTCAGAAGGATAAATATCTTTTCTTTTCTTGATTTTATGTGAAGAGCACAAGTCAACTGCTCTCCTTTTGGAACAACTCCTCCTTAAAAACAAAGGTTGCTCCAATCTGCACTCTAGTGCCTGTATAAATCAACATGCAAAAGCAAATTTTTTGAATTATATTAAAACAGGAGCTGCTCTGAATGACCAGCCCTGAGAGGAAGAATTCGTTCCCTGCTTTAGTTAAGCTCGAAATTCAGATTTCAGACTCTTCTGTGCAGAGATGAGGAAGAAAAGCAGCACAGAGAGGAAGCTGACACTTGGGTGGAATAAGCAAATCTTCCAATTAGTCTGTCTCCTCTCCTGGATCACATTTCACGCTTCCTACAGCTGCAACCAGAACGAAGGATGAGAATCCAGCATACAAATGCCTAGTTCATTTGCTACAGCAGCATGAATAGGATTAAAATAATCTGAAGAGGAATTAAATGCCTCGACAGTCAGGTTGCAAGAGCGGGAGAATAAGACCTCTTGTGTGCGTTTCCAGGATCAGTGGAGTGGGGCCAGCAAAAGTGACCCAGGGTTAATGCAGCTCAGACCTGCCTTGGAGGGACTATTTTCTTCCTACTCAAAAGGAATGGGGCCCAAATCCTACATCCTTAGCCATGAGCTGTGAAATGTTTGTTCACATCCAACAGGGAGTCGAGTGGATGAGTTTCCAATGTTACCACTCACACAAGCTGGATTTCCAAGCTTGCAGACAATCCGTACATGGGCTGCAGGTTTCCCCCTAAAATACTCTGACTCACAGAAAACCTGTCTGGGGGAAATGTAAGCTGGTAAGTGATTTTAAATGAACAAGTCTGGTTTAACTTGCTAACAATGCTGTTCAAATAAGAAAATATTTTCTATCTCTGATGAAATAAGGACAGAACTCAAAAAGCTGATGCAGGTGAAGCACAGCAGTGTCATGCCTCTAACTGAAAGTAAACTTGATCACTCTGGGAAACCCCAGTGCTTTGAGAAGGTATGTATTTCCCTTGCTTTTATTTCAAAAGCAATTGACAAGTTAAATGACAGAAATAAGAAAGTATTTTTAGGATTAGAGCAGAGCCTCACTACAGAGCAAATTCTATCAGATGCAGGTATGGAAACCTGCATCTTCAGAGATAACCTCAATAATTTTCTTACTGGTCTGGTTGAATGTAATTAAAATCTTTGGTTTTAAATGCAATTTCGCATTCAAGACACAATCATGTTTCTTGATCAAATCAAACAGATAAGCATTCATTTAATCCATATATAATCAAGCAATGTGCAAGCACCTGGAAGTGAAAAAGAAAGAACCAGCAGCCAAGATGGTTATGTCAAGTATAGATAATGTCTAATTTCCTTCTGTGACAGAGTAGCAGACCTTGTCAATAGAGGAGAAAGAGCAGACATCATATATCCTGACTTCAGCAAATCTTTTGACTTGGTGACATTCAAACACCGCCTACGTGGAACAAGGAGCTGGTGGAGGTATCACCAGCTGGAAAACTGTACCCAGGGAGTGGTTATCAACATCCCCTGTCAGAGCGGAGGGAAGTTATCAAGGGAGATTTCACAGAGGCCTGGCAGCACTCACTGGCTTTCCTTAATGACTTAGTTCCCAGGAAATCTGTGCTTTTTGAATTTGCAAGGGGTACCAAGCTGCAATCAGGCTGGAGCACACACTGACTTTTAAAATTACCTTGTCCGAGTGGGGGAACATTCTGGAAAAAAAGCAGAGAACAGCTTCACTAAGATGCAAATCCCAGAAGCAAAGGAGCTCTGGGAAAGCACCAAGAAAAACTGTGTGGTGATGGGGAATTCCTTCCCCCTGCCTCAATGCTCTCCCTGCAGAACAAATGGGGGAAGAAATGTGTATGTGCTGCTGAAGCCCTGGCCCTATTATTAACAATAAAACAGTAATTAGCTGCTGTGCTCTGCTGCAGAAGGGGACAGATTTCTATCTGTGGTTCTCAAAATACAGCTTGCAAATACTTATTAGTCCTTGCTCCTGAAAGATGCTGTAAGCATTTAAATGAGTTTTAATTATTAACTATATTAGTTCATCTGTTGGATGATTTTCCAGTGATGTAACACAGTGAAAGCCAGAGTAGTCAGGGTAATTTTCTGTGACTATTCCTAAAGAGGAGAAAATATGCCAAACCACATAATAAACCAGTAACATCTTAATACTGGGTGGAAACACGTTCTCTCACAAAATCCCATTACCTTACTGGGATGAAAAACAGCCTCTCCACCTCAGCAGGGGTTGAAGGAAGGGAACTGATGGCATCAAACTCCCCACATCTCCCAGGGCTTACCTGAGGGTCGTGCCTCTATAATGTAGCCAGTTGTGGGTTTTTCTCCTGAATCTCCCTCAGTCCATTGCAGTGTCAGCCCAGAAGCAGATTTTGTCACCAGGATTTCCTGAGGGGAGCCAGGAGACCCTGAAGGAGGAAAAGAAAGTAGCAAATGAAGGTGGCATTAAACTGCAGCATGAATTGCTTCTGCTGAGAGAGAAAAATTATCTTGCAGTGTTGGTCAGCAAATATGCAACATAAACCAGCTCTGTGGGCTACTGACCTGACTTTTTCAGTAGCTCCAGTACCAGCAGTTACATGCCAATGGGGTTTACAGGTCACAGGATCATAGAATATCCTGAGTTGGAAGGGACCCACTAGGATCATCAAAGTCCAACTCATGGCCCTACAGGAGATAACCCTGACTAAGGGGGGGGTTACACCTTTTGTTTTAAGAAGGCAAGAGAAAAAGGACTCTCATTTTATCCATTGCCACTGCTATTTCTCATTTCAGAAGTGAAACTAGCCTGTGAGGTTCATGGAGAGATTCATGGGGACAGGCACTGCCCATTGGCTTGGCAAGATGCCATGGCCAAGTTAGAAAGGATTCCTGATCTACACTTGGTCTGTGGTGTGATGTGAGAGTTAGACTCTGGGAGTGTGAAACAAACAAAAATCAGAGCTGTGGCCACTGCACCAATGGTTACTTACCTGCCAGGTTGGTATCATTGGAGGGCATTTACCTTGTTGGATTATCTGTATATCAAAGTCACTGATCAAATAAGAAAACCAGCTCTGGTTACGGAGCTGAACCAAGCAGGGAACCCTGCCCTGCAGCTGCTCTTGACACAGCAAGAAATCCACACATCTCTCCCTCTGCAGAAGCCAACGTGTCAGGAGAGAACAATTGTAAATTCTTTCTGGTTTTGTATCCAGGAATCTCTGCTGGTTTCAGCAGCTACTCCAGTTCTGCCCCCCACTGTAGAGCAGTACAGTCAGAATTATGCACTGCGCTGTCAGGCAGCAGCCTGGAAATCCCTGGCTGGCCTGTTTGCATTATGATTTATTTATAGTGTGTTGTTTATTCACATTAAACTTCTAGGTTTCAGGAAAAAAAGGAAACATGTTTTTCATGGCAGTTGTGAAATGCACTGAATCACGTCCCATGACTCAGCTTCTCCTTGGAGCTGGAAATTCATGTGAAGCCCTGAGTGCACCATTCCCTGCTGGTGCCCTGTGTTTGTAGAAATGATACGTGAGTTGTGATTTGCTTTTATAGTCCCCCTCACCTTCTGCTGGCCCAGCTGTGATGTTGGCTTGCAGTTCAGGTCCATAGGCGATGGTTCGGGCTTGCACTCGGAATAAATAGGTCATGCCCTTGGTGAGATCCCGGACCTTCAGCCAGCGCTGCCAGTTCCCCTTAATGTCCACAGTCACCACCTTGCTCACCCCTGGAACAGCCACACAGATAAAAAAATAAGAGGCAGTTTCAGTGCAAAAATAGAAATCAAGTGGAGCTTATTACATCTACATGGTAACTAAAATCATCTAACAGTTTGCTAAGAAAGTATTTCTTACAATTAGCAGGAGTTTAAGTAGTGATAATAGGCAATTTTCAGCACTGATAAGTATAATTAGAGTTTAAGCTTGATAAGTGGGTACTGACAAGGAAAAAACCTTACAACACATCTGGGAAATTACCAAGAGACTACATGTAACCTCAGTAATTATGCTGGGAAGAAAGGAGGAGGTAAACGAAGAGGAGTGCACATTCCAGACTGCTTCCCAGGCAAGCATTTCTCTGTTGCTGCTTCCAAATAACCCCAACATGGTCTGGAGGAGGAACAAGGGCCAGGTGTGCTCCATTCATCTCATCCTGCCATATCCACCATCCCCACGTGGATGCAGAGTGAAGGACGTGCAGCTCACCAGGACCTTGAGGCTGCAAATGCCACGGCAAGAGGGGATGCAACCAAAGCACTGAGAGCTTAAACAAAGCTGGAGCTGTGACTTGTGTTTCACTCTTCTCACTCTCTCAGAATTTTTCCTACAGGGATCAGTTAAAATCAGAGTTGTTCCCTTCACCAAGGTTCATAGCTAGGTTCACCTTTAGGTTCTCAATGCTGCATAAAAAAACAGAGGGGCAATGAGTGCTTTGAAAACAAAAAAATCTGGCTTTCACTGAAATCTTATAGAAGTAAGTCAATGGAAAGAATTTGATTTATAAAAGATTTTACAGAATAAACATTTCAAATTTAGAGAGTCTTTCTGGTGGTTTTTTGGGTCTGTATATATACATGACACATTTCAAACCAAGAAGGTAGCAAGCAGAAGGTTCTTCCCACTAGAAATGGCTGCTTGCTAGTTTATCATTCCAAAAAACGCAGAAAGAAGATGTTTTCAATCCAGATGGTTATTTTATGCAAATCAAGATGATACTTTCAGTTTTAATCACGTAAATAAAGAGTAATGTCCAAGCAATTTCTGTTCAAAATTTTCTTCCAGATACAATTTATAACTCAGGGAATCTTTCCTTGGCTAACAAGGATGCAGTAAAAGTGCTCCCTCCTGCCACAGGTGAACTATTTCATTTCTCTGAGACAAATCAGGAGGCATTTGTCATTTTCAAGTTATGTTCCAAAAACAAAAAGTAAAAAAAAAAAAAAAAAAAACAAAAAAAAACCACCAAAACCAAAAAAACTGTTGAAAAAGGCTCTGGGGCAATCTTGTTGTCTATTATTGTGTAAAACATAACAGTGTAAAGCTTAAACAATAAAAGGTCAAGCAGGGATAAGACTGTGCTAAAGAACAGATTGCTGCTGGAAAGGAATTGGAAAAATGGGCAGGTGAGTGGTGCTGGTGTGTGGGAAGGCAAAAGGTGTCACCATGGGAGGACAGCCAAAAATCAAGGGTGGGTGGAAAGTCAAAATATGAATGAGAGAAGCTCCAGGAGGGTCCAGCCCATCCAGGCTGGTGCATTGCAGTGCTCACATGGAGCAATGTGGGGTCTGGTCCCACATGGGCTATTTATTTAAGAGCTGCACTTGATGATCCATGTGGGTCCCTCCCAACATGGAATATTTGCTGAATCTGTGAAAATGATGGTGTCAAGGAAGGGATTCTTTTCCATGGCAGGAGAATAAATATGTTTGCTGAAAGAAAAAATGCTGGCACAAGAGCAAATGGTGGGTAAAGACTGGAAAATAAATGTAGGCAAATATTTTGCATCTGAGGAAGAGCCCTCCATAACCTTCCTGCTCACATCAGAAATCCTCCAGAGGGGAAGGAGAGACAAGTTGGAGTCGGGGGCAGCACAGGCAGAGGTGGGGAAGAGGGGAAAAGACAACAAAGGTTCTGAAGGATGTTAAGTCAAATACATGCAGAGAAAACATGATTTGACACTTCCATATTTTCAGAGGGAAAAAATTATTATTGAACATTGTGTAGGAATGAAGAAAAGGGAGTAAATACCCAAGCAGCCTGAACCTCCTGCATACACTGTGCACATTTCTTGGTCAGAATCAGAAATGCTTCCTGTATTAGCTCTTTGTGCTCAGACCTGTCAGCCATAAAGGCTGACAGTGCTTTTATTCTGGTGTTTTCAATCCTGAGTTTAACTTTCTCTGTGCATGAGACATGGATATTCAGACAATATAGATCATTATTCCTTACAGGAGAAGCAAATACAAGTGATTGATATCCTTATTTCTTTGGAAAAGAGTTTAAAATGGATTGGCAATGGCTGAAATTACTCTCCCTGCTGTCATGCTGCCAAAGCTGGACATCCTATTGAACTATTGGCAATCTACCAGGAATATAAAAATATTAATAAAGCCATCCACAAACTATGTCATCTTTCCTAATTCACCTTTGGAATTAATTTACATTTGTTTTCAGAGAAACTGCCAAATCTTTCTCTGTTGCTGTTTTGGCAAATTAATGAAATGTTTGTGGCCTGCACTTTGTTGTGATTTAACTGAACTCTGGTGATGGGTTAAAAATGCTGCCTGAAAACTCCGTGTGAAGAGACACAGCCACGTCTCTGTCCTGTTATCCTGCCTGTCCTGTCACTGCAGAGGTGCTGCCAGTGATGACTAGCGCATTTGATGCCTGGGCAATCTCTGTGATCACAGAAGTGACACATGACGTGATAAGCAACACAAATGTGCCTGACAACTATTCTGGGATGGAGCCTACTCAGCAGTTTCAAAGGCAAAGCGTGGAGACAATCAGGCACTCCCAGGCTGAGCTTCCCCTTCGCCCAGACCAGGTAATGATGGCTGTAAAATGACTTTTCAAATCACACAAACTATAGTTTGTGCAAGAAAATGAGAGAAGACAAGACAAAAGCTATATTCCACAATATTATGGCTCACTGAAGCATTTTGGCAAAAGTGGAATTGTTTTATTTACCCTTTGCCACCTGGCTTCTCATGGAAAACAGCAGAGAGCAAGCAGGAAATTGGGCAGAGATGAAAGGTCCTACAGCACCATTGTGTCTTTTCCCATGAATATGTATGATCAGAGGTCTTTCTTACCCTGGACGGGAGCCAGAGGCTCGTAGACAACTCGGTAACCCTGCAGGACTCCATTTGCTGCTGTTGGCTCGCCCCAAGACACATTGAGGGTAGTGCAGGTGATTTCAGAGAAGGCCAGGAAGCTGGGAGCACTGGGTGCTGAAAGGATTGCACACAGATTGAATTGCAGCAGCAGGAGTCAATCTAATATACATATATATTATAAAACATTGCTTTATTTGCCCAGCCTAAATCTAAAGGAAATAAGCTGAGAATGGGATTTGTCAGTTGTATCCAAATGTCCTGTAATCAGTCAGAAACGCAGCCTGTCCTAAAAATACAGCCAGTCAGCTGTAAAACCGAACCTCTACAGCAAACAGGGAGAGAGGGCACGGAAGGGAAGGGCCCTCAGAAGGGTGCAATGGGAGCCACCTCCCCTTCACAGCCACCACCCAAGGCATTGCCTTCACCCTGTGCCAGAGCACTCCCAGCACATCCAGCACAGGGACTGCTCAGCCTGACTGGGAGGCTGCTGATCCAGCTTAAAAAAATAGAATAGTGAGGAATTCTAAAAAGCATCCTAATTGTTTCACAGGACCATCAGGGCAACTTCCAGGCACTGGAGATGAGCTCCTTCTGATTTCCAGGTGTGGCAGCAGAAAACAGAAGCAAAGCCACAGACTGTTTCCTTCTAGACCAGCTTAGTTAAGGGCCAGTCCCGTCTGCCACTTCGTTCTCATTTCAGCTGTATCCCTCCCTTTCATCACACTCCACTTATTTGATGCTTTTTTCTCCACTTTCAAGACCTCTACAGTGCAAAAGCAAAGAGCACTGCCCTCCTGCGTGCCCCCTTTCCCCTGGCTGTGCCCAGGTGAGCAGGATCTGGTCCCGTACCCGCCTGGTGCGTCCTGCCCTGCGCGGGGCTGCTGCGGGGACCGTCCCCGGCCGCGTTGAAGGCGGAGATGCAGACCAGGTACCGCGTGTGGCTCGTCAGGTTCTTCAGCCGCACGCTCGTCTCCGGGAGGAAAAGGACCTTCACCTTCTCCGTGTCGTTCAGGGTGTCGCTCTCCCAGTAATAAATCTGTTGGCACAGCGAGACAGAATCCCAGCATTATTAAAGTTGGGAAAGCCCTCTAAGGTCATGAGTCCAACCATCAACCCCCAGGTTTGCCACTCAACCACGCTCCCAAGTCCCATATCCACTCATCTTCAGAACACTTCAAGGCTTGGTGATTCTACCCCCTCCCTGGGCAGCTTGCTCCCATGCCTGCCCACGCTTTCTGTGAAGAAATTTTTCTTAATATCTAATTGGAACCTCCCCTGGCACAGCTGGAGGGCATTCCCTTCATCCTGTCATGTGTTGTACTATATCCTACACCTAGAAAGTATTTGGCCACTGCAGCTACAAAACAACCAGAAAGACAGTGAAGTCTTGCCCTGGACTCCTCGGTTAGTTGGGATACTCAGGTTTTTTAGCACATGCCAAATCTTTTCCTTAGCAAATATCCCTGAGTCCAGTGACCACGTAGCTGAGTACATCACTCAAAAATAGAGCAAAGGCTGAAGAATATGGCTTAATGACAGCAGGTATGAGCTTCCAGGGTTCACTGAGGAGAGGTCAGTTTAAACACTCCCTGCAATGCAAGCTGCCTGTCAGCACTGGCATCCTGACACACTGTGATGGTCCATAACTCCCCTCTGCACACACACAGCACTCACACCACTGCTGTTCACAGCACAGCCAGGAAAATGCCCTCCTCAAGAGGGTAACAAAGATTCTCCCTAAAGTTCCTTGGGGTGCTTTTCCCCCTTCTTCCATTACATAATTTTTACCCTGATGCTATAAAATTAGCCTTCGGAGAAGTTGTTTCCAAGCGGGAAATTGGTGCCAGCCCTACTTATTGGACAGGCCTGGCAGTGAGAGCATTACAACAGGCCAAAGCAAGCCAGAGAGCTGAGAGAACAAGCCAAGGCAAGACTCCACCTTGGCTCTCCAAGCCAAGCTGCTGAAGCCATCTATATACGTACAAAAGGGAAAGGACAGGGATTGATATATAAGGATGCTTGTTACTGCCAAGAAGGGATGCCAGATTATTCACACTGGCTTGGCTTTCCTTCACTTATGGATTGAAATTCGTGGAGAGAGGCAGAGCCAGACACTGAACCCAAGCCAAGCTCCAGATTTGCCCATTCCCACTCTCTGAAGGTCCATTCTCAGGCTGGAGATGCTGAGCAGCGTGTCTCTGCAACGTGCTCATCTCCTGCAAACCAAACGCAATTAATACCCTGATTTAATTTTGTTAAAGTTAAGGAAATGAAGCAATGCTTCCAAAATCTGACCTGGCTTAGGTTTCCAGCTGGGAGAAAGTTCTGCTCTTCCTAAAGGCTTGTAGCATTTGATGGAGAGAAAGCTCAGTTAATTTTCTTCAATACATTTCTTTCTCCCAGCTCTTGTGCAGCTGTGCTGCATTTTGGAGCAGATATGTTGCCTGCATAAGTGGAGCAGCCTCCTTATCTGCATCCCCTATTTCCCCCATGCTCTCCTTCTCCATAAATAACAACACACTCTCCCTTTTCTCTCCTCCCCCCTCTCAATCTCATTCTCTTTCTTTTGGTTTTGGGACTTGCTGCTGTTCCCTACTGCAGCCTGAGCACTGCTCTAATTTGCCTTATGTGGTGAGGGCGACTGCACTTTGTAGAGCTCTCTCACAAGTAAATAGCAATGCCAAGCAAGATAAATGGAAACAGTAGAAACGGGAGGATTGCCTTGTAGCCTTGGATGATCCCGTTCTGGCTGTCGGCAGGAGGGGGGTCCCAGGTGAGCTCCAGCTGGCTTGCAGAAAGGGAGTTGACTTGGATGTTCTGTGGGGCCAGCGCCGGTGCTGGGGAGGAAGGAGGACAGAAGTATTAACAGTGACACACAGAATTAGCTCATAGCCAGGTTTTTCATTTGCACGAGGACGCCGGACAGACTCTGTTTATGCCACAAGTCAGCAACGAGCCAGCCCCGGGGTATCTGCGTCATTCGGATGTCTCGGCACAAGAGGAGCGAGGAGCAGCTGAGCCTGGGACATGGCTGTGCTCTGCTCCACACAGGCTGCCTTAGACACTGAACCATCTCAATCCTGCCAGTGGCTTTGAAAAAGAAAGGAAAATTTTGCCTTGGTTCCCTGGTAGACTGGGGTAGTGGACAGTGCTCCTCCTCAACTGTTCCTGGTGAGCAAGGCAGCCCCTGCCACCATCAGCCCAAATGCCACTCAGTAGCAAGACTTTGGGCTAAAATACTGCCTACAATTACCTCCAAACCCAGTCAGTTGCTAATCAATGCACTAATATTCTTTGTATGACAGAATGACTTTTAGTTTTCTACTATGACTTTTTGTTAGCTACACTTTGATTACATGTCCACATGCACACACTGGCCCTCTTTGGCTCCTGATGGCATTTCTTCTTTGAATTGTGCTGTGCTAGAAAACCAATATTTGAGTGCTCCTGGGTCACTCCATCCCTGCCCTTTGTCAGGATCCCACTTGGTGCAGGTGGATTTTCCTCCCCAGCAGCTACTGAGGACACTCTGGTCTTCTGACCTGCTGTCTGAGCCTCCGGCAGGTTTTAACAAAACAGCTCCTGTTCTGTTCACAGAAAAGGTGCTGAAGCGTGTCCTGGTCAAACTGCAGAAGTGGGGAAAGAAAGGCAGGACAAAGGCTCCACTTCTCCTTTCTCTGTGTTCACAGTGCCATAGCCTTCTGCCAGACCCCCTGAGAAAGTTGTCTCTTTCCTCTCTGCCCCTTTCTGGGCCATAAATAGAAGTGATAAAATATTCACCGCTTGCACTGGATAGCACCGGTTAGCTGCTCCTCTGGAGAATTCTTTCTTAAGAGAGAATGACCTTCATAAGTCACACTTTTCTACCAATACTCCCTCCCCCCAGAGTTATAAAATAAAAAAGTAATTAACACCCACTCAGCCTGACACCAACTATTTATTTTGTTCTAACTGTGTGGTTTCCATATTATCACTGCCCACCCTGCCGTTAATGGAAATGTTAATAACCAGCACCAGGTTGTTGTGACAGATGCTTGGGCTCATTATCAGAAATTCTTATTTACCGCTCCATTAAACGACAGAATCGCACAAAAAAACAATTCAATCAAAACTAACTGGAGGAATTTTAACAGCCACATTAATAATCCAAAACATAAATAAAGTTAATGTCTTTTGCATGTTTGCCATCGGCAACTCTATTGCAAAATTATTGCTATACAATTAAAACGTGAAAGGTAAATTTGAAAATAGCCTTTATCCCAGGGCTTGGTTAAAACTATTTATTTATTGTGGGTTTTTTTGTTTCCTTTCTGGCTGGATGGTGAATACATGAGGTGACAGTGACCATCAGTAAACCCCAGCTTGGTCACAAGGGTGCACTTGTCTAATTATTGCCCTGCCTTCTGTGCTCGTTGCTTGGCTGGATGCCCTCAGTGCAAGGGAGTGCTGTTAGGGACCAAAAACCTCAAGATTTTGAGAATTTCACAGCACAAACCATAGCATGAGGCCAAACTGATCACAGAGAGCAAAGCTGAAAACACATCCTGGAGATCTGCCAGGATGACATGCTCAGGGAAACAGGAACATGTACAATCACAGAGGAAAAGGGGTCCCTTTAGCAGTGTATTTCCTTTCTAAGGAGTGACACAGCTGTCTGTCCTGAGCTGACAGCTTCACAGTGCTCTTAACATCCAGGTCTGAAGCAGCACCCACCAGAGCATTTTTCTTTGGATGCCATGTGGCAGCCAGGAACAAATACTGCTTCTGAGACATGACCATCAGAGGAGGCGGTGTGTACTACTCACTGCCAGAGAAACACTGCTTTTCCTCACCCCTTCATGCAGCACATCTAAGAAACACAGCAGTTAAACCCTGCCAGTGGTAACTCTGCACCGACACACTCGCTGCTGGAGCTGAACTTTTGCTGGCGTGGTGGAGAAAAATTTGACGGGAGGAACGAAAAAAAAGTGTGGAAAAAGACATTTCTCTTCACTACTCCAGAGCCTCCACAAGATGCAAATTGTTTGGTTTTGTGCCCCGTGAGTCTGTCCCTCTGTTCAACTCTCAAAGGCTGATATGTCCCTCCTCCTCTAAGCACAGATTTCTTGTTGACAGCGAGGGACAGCAGAAGAGTGCTGCTGATGCTTGATGTGGCTCTGTGAGAGAACATGTTCCATTAAGGGTGAAGTGAAACACTTCAAAAAGAAGGAAACACATCCCTGAAGACCCCACCTGTTTGCAACCCCAAACCATTCCCTGAAAATATGGATAGCCTGTGCCAATAAAAGCAAGCACATTTTAAAGGTGAATTCAAAAGGCTTTTTGCCTTCTAGGAATGCACTTCAAGATTACTGAGCTCGGAATTTTTCACAGCTGTTGAAATCTCAAATACATAAAAAGCAATGTTAGAGCTGCACACCTCACACTGCTTTAGGTGTTAGTGACATTATCAACTATAGCAGGAGTGACACAGACCCCCGAGGGTCCAAACACAGCTCTTGAAGGCAGGTGGAAAGCATTTCTCTTTCCCTGAAAAAAAATATCTGTGCACTCATGAAGTCGAATTCTGTGCACGTATCTTGCTTTGGAATCTCATGCAGATATTTGCAAACATTTATTTTCTTATCTGATTTCAATTTACCTTTGAGATTGTCTCCTTGAAACTCTCTCGGCCAAAGCCTAAGGAGAAAGACTGAGCAGGTTGTGTAGTAATTAGTAACAAATAGTAACAAATATGGGCTGGGCTGCTGTTGGCAGGATCACGTAAAGACAGCAAATCTATCCAGAAACGTGGTGAGAGTGTCAAAATAAGCCTGTAAATAAAGTTACACATCTGAATCCACATTTAAACATATCACTGCCCTCATTTCCCAGCTGCACTGAGCAGCCTCTGCTCTCACTGCAGGCAATTTGAGCTTGCAAATGCTTCTAACCTTTAAAGAGAAGGTGCTTTAAATCCCCAGTGGCCTCCCTGCTCCTGAGCTCTGTGCTCTGCAGAAGGTTCACCTCAGCTCTTCTCACTTGGGATATTTGTTCTCTGGGCTGTGTGGACCCAGAGCTTTCCATCAACATGGAGCTACTATTCCTTTCCCCAGTGACAATTGCCACGATGCTCTGTAGCACAGGTAGGCTACAAATCCTTGTGATTCATTGGGCAAACTTGATAACTGGTTTTGTAAAGCATTCTTCACTGCTCTTATATCTGCTCCAGTTTCTGGGGAGCAGAGAAGTTCTCTACTGGTTTTCTAACTGTTTCTGCAGTGGCAGTGTTACTGGCAGACAAGTTTAGGACAAGATTTCCTGATACTTGCATGCCATTTAAGTAAAGATTCAGGCCAAATATGAAGAGAAAAATGCAGTGAAAGAGACTGAAGGGTTTCCTGTGCATCAGCTTGATCCCAAACAATCCCAAACAAATTTCTGTTTTGTAAAGACCACTGATCTTTTTCTGTCTAGCAAGTGTTTCCCCCAAGTTCTTCAAAGCATGATTTGGAGAACATGCCTGCCTTTTTTCCCTAGTAGTCAATATGTTTTCATTTTGGTGTTAGCACCTAGAGGCCAGAATCTCATTGCACAATGTGCTGCATAAACACAGAACAAAGACACAGCTCCAGGCCCCCAAATCCTCTAATCTGTCTCCACATTACAATGGAGGGGTGGTTTCGGCATGTTCTGAGTATCAGCTGTAATTTTCCCTACCTAGTGATTACCAACAAGGGGAAGGAACAGCAGTATTCAGTTCAGTGTGTGCTGATGGTGAAATCTTGCACACCAGAGCTTCCAAAGTTTACACACTGATTCCTGGCACACACAGTCATGGAAAATAAGGGTAAAAGGTTTGGAAAGGACTCAGACATCCTCCTGGGATCAGCTTGCTGCTCAGATTTTCATGTAATCTCAAGCACTGACTTCTTTCCAGATTGTGCTGTCATTCCCACACAAACTCTGCCAGCACCTCCCTACTTTAACAGCTCTTTAAATAGGGGTGTGTGTAACACCCATACTTTAAAAATAAAAATAAACAAAATAGGGATATCTATAATAGAACACTAAAAAAATAACTCTGTATTATTCTTTTTGATGCCTAACCTAAACCATGCTCACTATATGGAAGTTATATCCCTGCAGTGACATGGAGATTGTTGCTTCTTCAGCTGCAGCCACTGCCTTCAAGTCACAGTGTAGATAAGCAATAGTTTAGTGGATTCTAAAGCCAAACACAACACAACAAACAGAAGGTCACCAGATAAAGAAGTGATCAGCAGAACAGGCAAAGTGGGGTTTTCTTGCAGTACAGGCTTAGAGAAGAAATGTGAGGATGGTACCTCCCAGGAATGACCAAAAAGGTGAATCTGCAGATGTCTGCAGTCACTCCTTGCACGAAGGAAAAGTGGCACGAGAGAAGAATGTTCAGTGTTTATTGGCCATTTTCCTACAGAGCCTGGGAGGGAGCAGTGGGAGGATGGAAGCTTCCCTGAGCAGCAGAGCCTGGTGCCATCAGGAATGCTGCAGTGAGTGATGCTGATTAGCTCAATGACAATTAGTCAGTTGTGCTTCAAAACCAGCTACTGTGAAGCTGCTTTCCACTGTGACAGAGCAGCACAAGCTATATTTAGAATATAAAACAACTTCCCACTAATTCCTGCCTGTTTTGGGCTGGGCTTCACCTCGTGATGAAGTCGGTGCTTTTTCCAAGGGCTGCGATTTCTGTGGTTACTCAGATGTGTTTCAGAGGCACTAAGAGAGGCAGAGCCACATTCCAGGGATGTGGGTCTCAACCCCTCCAACACACTCCATTGTGCCTGAGTGCTCCTGCCCTCTTACTGAGCAATTTGGC